ATGGAACAGAATGAAACATTGACAGCGGTATCCCTGTTTTATTTTTTTTTCAAGTGTTCACCAAAATCTATCCAGTCTTTCAAAACTTTTTTCGAAATTATTTTTACCAGTGAAACCAACTCCAAACGACAATAATAATACGAATAATATGAACTACGGCAATAGCGATTACTAGTTTGTTAATTGCTCGCATATTATTTGTTTATATATATATATATATATATATATATATATATATATATATATATATATATATATATATAAACAAATAATATGCGAGCAATTAACAAACTAGTAATCATACAGTGATAGTTATATAACAGATAAATGATGCAATGACATTTGTGGTCATGGTTGTCGTTAGTGTCGTCGTCGTGGTAAATGAGTAAGTGAGTGATGGATTAAAATCTAGACATTAAAAATGAGAAAAAATAAATTTACTTTATATAATTTGCGCTGGTTCACTTTCTAACCCTATGAGAGTTTCTCAGTAAAGTTTCAGTATGTATAAATATATAAATAAAGTGAATTATCAGAGCTTATTTCACTAATGTGGGGAAATTACTTAAATGATAAGCACAGAACGCCCTGACTGTAAAACTTGGCTCCAAGTTACACCCCATATATATAAATACGTAAAGTGGCGCCGAAAGCTTTTACAGTTTGGCGCCATTCACTATCTAGTTTTACCCTCACAAGTAATGACACCTGGCACCAAATGGGTGCCATTTAATGGCGACAGAAAATGAGACAAAAGATTTTTGGTTGCCTGGGTATATGTATGTGAGTTTGTGTGTAAAGTGGGGTGAGGGAAAGAATAAGTGGTAATGTTGACAAAACCTGAATATATGGAACAGCAACAAAATACTTAAAACTCCACATTATTATTAACACAATAAATTGTACATTATATATATATATATAATACTTTTAAAATAGCAGTGAGAAAATTTCTGTTATATTATAAACAACACAATTTGACATTGAAATTTATGCAACATATTTAATACGATGTATGCCTATCCGCATGTGCAACTATATATATATATATATATATATATATATATATATATATATATATATATATATGTCACAGAAATTTTGACATTATTTCAAGTCAATTTTTAAACAGTTATAATACAGTACACACATATTGAATTCGAGTGTTTACCGTATATTTAAAGTAATTTTAAATATCCCACATTATTGCTTCATACATGAACACACATAAAAACAAACATATAAAATAATAAACGATATGTTGGACTCTTGGTTTGAATACTGTGAGAAACCCAAACACTAGACTTCATATGTTCGGTTTAAGCTTGAAATTTTACTTTTATATTTAAAAAGAAGTAACTTTATGTAAGGTTTGTGTTTGCAGAGAATTATCTCATGTGTGTGTTTGTGTACTTATTTATCCGAATACTTATCCAAATAACTTATTCCCACCTTGTATATATATATATATATATATATATATATATATATATATATATATATACAGAGAGAGAGACTAATTACGAGATAAGCAATCCTTCTCAGAAACGCAAACTTAATGATAGGTACTTAACAAACATAACCAATTTACTTGTTACTAGTACCACCACTGCTACAACTGAAGTAATCATGAATATTATAACTAAATTCAATTGTATGGAAAAGACGGCAAAGGATTATCACAATAAAATTTGTAACATCAGCAAATCAAAATGATGAGTGACAATCACGAGCCAATCGGATTGAAATATCATAATTTAAAAAGATTAGGAATTCTTCACAGAGGTTTAATACTATGGGTTTAAATCTGAAAAAAACTACAGATGAGTATTGAGAAAAGAAAAGACAGACTACAATATTTGGCCAGTATCAGCTAGTTTTTAATAGTATTCTAATTAATATACAAGGTACCAACGAAACCCACTCACCCGTGTCACAAAAGCGGCTTAACTAATCGAAAGTTAAGCACGTTTTGATGTTTTAAGATTCTAATAGGTAACAACTAGCTTGAAATAAAAAAAACTCTAAATATGGGTGGCCAACAAGCTCATCAACATTACTATCTATGGTATAATTTAGAAATGACTAAAACGAATTCCAGTCAGCTACAACGTAGGACTACGCACATATAAGTTGCCATACCTCATTAGCACTACAGGATGAACACCAAATTCATAGAAGTAGTTACTTCAATGGTATAAATACATAAAAGATAGATTGTGCATGAGGATATAGTACAGGAAGAAAAAATAAGTTCGTAGATAGAAAGTTAATTTTAACTCAACGATTTAAGGGAAGACAGAGAGTGTATACACCTGCGCCATTGTGACCGATTCTAAATCATGCCACACAGAGTCGCAGAATACTGGTTACGATAGTCGTGCAGAACCCAACCAAGTAGTCTACATCTACCAACATGGCTCAGACCAGAAGTTAATGACTTTAAGAACTGATGCCACGTTTTTGGTCTGGCCGCCTCTAAATCTCTTCAACCGTCTCCAACACTAGTCAGTATTGCGCGTTATGGTAATCGGTGATCAGGCATGCGTAATACGTGGCCTAACCATCTCATTCGATGCAGATTCGCAACCTCATCAAATGATTTACCACTATTCATTGATACCTTACGTCTAACCTCACAATACTTACCCAGTGATCTCAGTAGATCCAAGCGATATTTCTAAGGCATCTGTAGTCAAATACTAGTAACTTACGAGTATCTTCCACTCTTAATGGCCATGTTTCACAGCCGTAAAGTAGAACAGAGCGAACTGCTGCGCAGTATACTCGTCCCTTAATTGATAGACGGATATCTCGTCTTCGCCATAGGTCACGTAAGTTGGCAAAAGCCAAACGAGCTTTTTGAATCCGTGCTGAGATTTCGTCAGACACCAACCCATTAGGGCTGATCAGACTTCCAAGATAAGTGAAGTTGTTGACGCGTTCGACTACTTCACTCCCTATCCTTAGTTCAGGTGTTGACGCAGGCCAATCCTGTAGCAACAACTTGCATTCAGATGGGGAGAAACGCATTCCAATCATCCTGGTATTGTTGCTCAGTGCTAGCAAAAGACTCTGCATTTTGTCAGCGTCTTCACCAAACAGGATAATATCATCTGCGTATTATATTATCAATCAACAGCTTACATATTGAAAAAGAGGAATGCAAACATAATATCTTTGCATTGCTGACTGAAGAATTTACAAGACTGTGTTTTGCCCTCGAATATAACCAGATTTCCGGCATACTTCAACTCGACAAAAGAAATCTCTAATAAAAAATCATTCAGTCGTTGAGAATTCGAACGAACAAAATCATGAACAAACATTAATGCTTGCAAGAAAATCTAGTGAACATATAGATTCAAGATTATTCATAGTTCATGTTGTTTACTTTTTTTAATCCTAAGATTTATATAATACACTGAGATAATTGTAAACACAAATTAGTACGATAGTTGATTAGTTACGCTGCTTGCCATTTATGTTCATTATTTGAACAAAATATTGACATTTACGGACGTGTTTTGTTCTGTCTACGATTAGATTTTAAAGCAAATATAAAAATGAAAACAATGAGACATTTAACCTTTCAACACAAAAGATTTATTATGATTAATTTGTTAAAAGTCAGCAATGATAGAAAAAATAATGTCAAATAGAGTGTTTAACAGTTTCGTAAAGGTAAAGTGGTTAAGATTTCATAGTACGAATAAAATTGAGAGGAATCAAAACAACAAGACAGTTAGATAATAATAATAATAATTTAACACTGATAAGTTCAGATGAAACAGGACACAAAATACATAAAGAAGGAAATTGAAACATTGATAAACCAAGGTATCTAAAAGAAAGACAACAAACAGATGCATCTTCATTGCTTTGATTGACTTTGCATCATGAACCAAAACTCAAAAGATTTGGTCATTGATACCCACTGGCTAAATCAGTCTACGAACTCAACTTCCACCTATTAGACTACTGATGAATCAAACCTTACTTCATTTATCTCGGTTGAGTAATTGAATAGTGGTAACGTTAGTTATTAAACACTAAGTCTGTAAATCAAAGCTGAGTACATCAATCTATAATTGAATGGTAAACGTAAATAAAAGGTCCTAGTGATGAAATAAACAAAATAAATTACAATGGTGACATTCATTTAGATTTCATTAACTGTAAAGCATTTCCTGATACACAACCAATCATTTATTTATTCTGAAATATTTTAGTAAAAGCTTATCTTGAAAATAGAGTAGCAAGTTTGAAGCTTTCTGTTAACAAGATCATTTTTATCGGCCTTAAAATCAACATACAGTTGCATATACATCAATATTTTTTTCTCTAAATAAGCATAATAATACAAATTATCAACATTCATGTGTACAGACGATTAATGATCATTTTAGTTGTATAGAAATGTTTGAAGATATCATTTAGCGCTGCTAATTATCACGATTTATACCATTAACCCAAGGTTATTCATAGATCTCGAGCAAAGTATGGATCGATTATAAAAGTGTAAGCTGAGTTTAACCTTCTTTTAAGAAATATAACCAATTGATAAAATATTATATTTGAAAATTGTATTTAAAATAATCTCAGAGATTGAAAGTTGAATAATTCCAACGTTTCGTCCAGTAAACTTGTCTGGACTTCTTCAGGATAATCTCAATCGCTGAAAATATTTCAAAGATAATTTTCACACATGTTTTCTCTATATCCGGTACCCAATTTCTGTCAAACTATTCGTTCTTATATTGACGAATATTCGTACAAATTAATAAAATATGTTGATTCTTTCTTAAAGAATTATGATCTGAATCTTGAGTTTGTGAAATATGTATCTAATCTCGATGCGCCTTTAATAATTGTAAACTTCAGTAGCTGTTCAACCTGGTGCTCACGCATATATATATATATATATATATATATATATATATATATATATATATATATATATATACAGCCTTATACTACACAAAATAAAGACTAATTACCTGGATCTGAAGAATATCTTGAACAGTGAACTTTTTCATTAATTTTATCTTGAATAAGTACTCGACTCCAATGATAGGGATTTAAACAAATTTGTGAGTTTGTATGCTTTTCTGAAAACTGGCAAGGTCCAATCCGTCTGTATAGAATGAAAAAATGAAGTTGAAACTGACTTCAGACGAGATAAGTTAGTGCACTATTATGAGACTGAAAGGGTAGCAACTTTTACATTACTCAATCGATATTTAAGTCATGAACAACTTGAAATGTAAGGTTTTGAATTAAAATATTTTTACAATGGTTGAAAATGAGCAAGTGAAACTTTACTAAATAGTAAATTGTAAGATTTTAATGAAACAACATATTGACTGTAACGAATTAAATATAGTGCTAACTAAAAATGGTCAGGTGGCATAGTAGGTTGAATAACAGGATTCAAACAGACTCGTAGTTTACATAACCAATTGTCCCGTATAATAACTATGCAAACCTGTTTGCAAAGTTACTGAGTCACCTTAAGTTTTTTTGATTTTTAAAAATGAAATAAATTATCGTTATAGTACTTTTGTTTTAAGAAAGTTTAAAAAACAAAAACACGGCTCGTTCATAGTGATGTACTTAATTTGGAAATTGATATATAAGTACGATGAGATCATTCACTGGTCGCATACAACATACATAAATGTATTAAAACTGGTACACTTGGTTGTGGAAATTTATGATTCATGTATAGAACATTATGAATCAATCATATTAAATTCAGCAAATACCTAATGGTAAAACAATACAGTTATTTCATGAATATAACCGTGAAAAAAATTGAATGAGAAACAGAACCTGGTATATTATCCAATCGGAACGATTTACAAAACTTTAAATACTACAATAAGGGAAAGCTTAAAATAATGGTAAGCCATAAAATAAGATTAAACAAGGAGAAGTAGGTACATAAAAATCACTAACAAGCCAAACATTGAGAGTAAAATAAAAGATATGTCGCTGGCACTTAATCCCAGCTGCATTGATTTGGTTCTTTAGACCCAGATCTTTACTAACTCAAAGACCGTATACGAACGGTTCGAGCTCGTATAAAACATCCATGTTTATGGTCGTGGACTCTAAACATCAATAAAGAAATTAATTTAGACTATATTGACGAGTTGATGACAAGTACATGCTTTGTTACATGTTACAGTAGACGTAATAAATTTATGTGTAATTTTTGCTTGACGCAGAACATACACTCCTATCAAAGCTTTAGTTTAAGGGTTCCAAAACTTATCATTAGGTTTTAGTTTCAAATGCCTCTCCAACTCCTTCAACTTCAATATTGTGCACATAACCCTTATAAAACCGGTTTGCTCCACCCTACACAGTGATCCCGTAATAAGGGAGCGATGATATTAACATAGTACTTATTCCTAAAAAACATGTCACAAATGTACAGCTGGACAGATTACAGTGTTGGTAAGCTAGAGAATATTTGACTGGTATGAAAAAAAGTGGTTCTCTGACCAACTGATATCAGAGGGACATTAATAAATCGTCTACACATTAGTTTAATTACGTTACAGCAATCATAAAGGGCTTGGTTTTGTACACCAAAACTTAATTTACTCGCACTCAACTAAAATCATACACATCAAGATCACTAATAAGATAGTTAAATTAAAGGAGCTGAATATATACGCCTTTAAAATTATGGCAACATAATGAAACATAGTGTATAAATTAAATGATAGAAAAAACTCTATTAGACGCCATCACAGATAGGGAGTTTGGCACTAGTTGTACTAAACATTAATTAAAATTGGTTATGATGTAAACTACTATGGTTTCATTTATTATGCGCTTTTCCAACTTGTTCTTTTAGTGAACAAACTACAACTTATTCAATAATAAAAGATGTGACTCTATTCACACATACAAGAAGCATATGTGCACACACATGTACACCCCCGAAGCAGACACAATCCTATAATGGAAAGAAATTCAGTTAGTTTTCGGATTAGAATACATTAAGGTCTTTTACAGGCGCCAGCGCTGAAATGTATATATATGTACATATACGCAAATATAATCCACATGGAATCATTCAAATAGCAAAACGTAAAAACTAAAGTTCGATTTTAATCTAGAACAGCACACAGAAAATTTCGTTTTATTGCAATACGTCCGAAATAATTACCTGTCTAAGAGGAATATGTTTTTCTTCTACCTCTATGTGATATCAAGCAAATTGCAAATGATGATAAAAGATTTATTTACGCCGATATTTATACACATAATCCCATAAGTAGATGCTAGGTGGGCGACACATAATAAATGATCAGTCTAGAATGGCGGTAAATGGACTTGCACACGCCGCCAGCAAGCAGGAGCCAAACCACAGCGACCTGAGTCGTTAACCATACTAGTTCTCCCGATAATGTTTGAGCACATTTATACACTATATATAAACTAAGCAGTTGTTAAAACGATAATTAGTTTTATATTTATGCGAAGTAGCTTTCAAGAATGTTTCTATGATCAGTCAATATTTGCTCTGATAAAATAATAGCCATTTCATATATTCTGGTAATTTTTTAATAACGGAAATATATATATATATATATATATGTTGTAATCGTGTTTTGCTCATTAAACGACCCAGCTATTCCTATTGCTTAGTATTCTTATACGATGGCACTCGACAAGACCCCAAAATCAGAACACGTTGAACAGGAATGAAATTGTATTCAAAAATAACAATGGTATGCGAACAGCAATCACTGATTTGAATAACGTTCATATATTTATAGTATATACATAAGAAGCTTCTAGATCTTTCTCCAATAATATGTCAGGGCTGATCGGTTTAGAATTAGCCAATCAGCGCGTAGCAATACAATCATGCATGAAACATGCTTGAATCCAATCTATGTCCCGCTAACATATATATATATATATATATATATATATATATATATAAATGTATGTGAATCAGTGATAATCAAAAGGTGGACTAGTCTAAATATTTACTCATAGTGATAATAAGACTGGTGACAGACGAAGTGGAATAGTAAATTTGACTAACGTAGTAACTGGTTTGAATACTTGAGTAGTAACTAATAATTTATTTGTTAAAATACTGGATCACATAATTGGATACAATCAACTAATTGAAATCTGTGAACACAGGTTTGCTGATTCGGTTTTGCAATGTGAACCATCGTATAAAGATCACCAAAACTAGCCGATTGCCCAAAATGAAGAGATTTCAAATCTACAACCGAGCTACTGAAATTTATTAACTAATCGAGAAAAATATACTTGTAGCAAGCGAGAAACCAGATGGAGTTGACCGATTTATTGTTTAATGCAAAATTACAGTATGCCTTCGTAAAATATGAAAACCATGCATTGAATACATTATTTTTAGATCTTCCTTCAAATGTCCTTTACACGCTTCACGATTCTTCCAATTCTGTTATTATTATTATTATTATTATTATTATTGATCTTTGTTTTCCATCCTGTTCTCGTTAATTTAATCTTCTCAATTTTCTGTTGACTGGCATTCCACATCCGATTGCTGCTACATACTACTTATATCTGTCGGCGTAAGTAGTATGCGCCACAAACACAGTAAACGGGGCTTAAAGTCTAGTCAGGAAACCAGCATATGAAGACTAAATTATAAATGTTACATTTGTTTTTGGCAAGCTACAAAGGATAAATACTTCGAGACCAAACTAACCAGAATTTGTTTCTAGTAAACACTAAATTTAGCATATTTGATCTACAAAATGCTTTTCTTACGTGTGGCTTTAACATGCATGGACATAATTAATATATAAACGTTCCGCCGTTAAAATATAATTATGCAAACTGTTTTCGTATAATGAAAAACAGTTGGTCCATGAATAACAAATTTTCATTCTACACAAAAAAAGGGAAAATTTATTTTCAAGTATTTTGTCTAGAAGAATATTTACACTTGTAAGTGCGACTACGTACATTACCGGAAACTCAAGAAACTGAATATTTTGGACACTCCATTTACTAGAATTGTATGTATGAGTGTACAAAGCCATATGACTAAGAGGTCTTGTGAAATATAATACTTATCAACCCAATGATAAAATAATTGTCATCATGACTTTATTTTGTTGAAACAAGCTAGAAAATGAGATCAGTGTGATTTATATAGGATCAGTTACTTTGTTTTAAATCAGGCTTATTTATTGAGATCATGAACCGAACAATTTTAGACCACCATATAAAAACCTGGAATAGCTGGATGGTCGCTTCATTCTAGGATAAGAATCTTCAGCTGTTCGCATCCACGATCCCGCACGTGAGACTCCAATCCGGGATCTTCGATTTCACGCGCAAGCGCTTAACCTCTAGACCACTGAGCTGGTATACAATGGTGTTACTGTCTAACTTCAACCAATCCACAATACTGCGTGACCATCTTCCATTATTTTCGTTGGGTAACTGCCTCACATCTAACACGGATTAGCTCCACTGGTTATGGCTTCTCACTAGAACTCTGGGAACTACCTATTGGAGTTAATTGCTGGTGAGCACATAATACATTTCAGTGTAGAGTTGAGAAGATTCTTGAATTTCATTGTGCTCACTAATGAATAGCTTTGAGAGCTGATTCTCGGAGTTCTAGTGAGAGGTCATGACTAGTGGAGTTTAACTGTTTCGGTTGTGAGGCAGCTAACCACCGAAGACGATGGAAGTTGGTCGCGCAGAGCGTGGCTAAGAAACCGCTGTAAGTATCAGATATACTAGTGGTCTATCTCAATTAATGAAAGGGAAACTAAATCAAAACTTTGAGTTGGATGAATAAAAGTTTAGAGTTAATACTACTAAGCTACATCTCCAGAGAAAGCTATCTGAGTAATCTCATTAATTATGCCAATGAGAGGTCACTATTAGTAAGTAATGTGTAAAAGTCATGTAGAAACTGAACATTTTGAGTCGGCTCGCAGCATTATTCTAATATCCCCCAAACGCCCTGGTACGGTTGAGAGTGGGGAGAGTCCGCTCTCCTTCTCAAAATGCTCTCACATGGCCAGCGAATATATAGCCTCTGCCAGGGAAGTCCTACTCACTGCCTTCTCGTGGCACTACTGTTGTTTACGAAATTGAGAGGACGAAAAGCGAATGTCCGGAGCTTTAACCGGGTTGGTGGACATGGAAAGTTCACCTAGGGGAGTTGGAAAACCCTGATTCCAAACCAATGGTGCACATGGGCTCCAGTATCCTGAGGGAACAAATGGTGTATGAATCAATTATTGGTCACCGGCTACCATGAGACTGCGTCTCCTTACGATGCTCCACTACCTTGTAGGTTATTTGTTTATTTATTTAAACACATAAATATTGGTACAAGGAAGCACCAGATAAATATGCGCCTCGCAAATCTCATTCGATTTGTCTGAGGGCTATGATACTGCCCAGGTGCCCAGATTGAAGCAGATGGTTTTCTTAGGGGACCACACCCGGAGCCTTTGATCTAAAGGTCTAACCAACTGCCTTGTGAACTAGACCTTCAGGTCAAAGGCTCCGGGTGTGGTCCCCTAAGAAAACCATCTGCTTCAGTCTGGGCACCTGGGCAGTATCATAGCCCTCAGACAAATCGAATGAGATTTGCGAGGCGCATATTTATCTGGTGCTTCCTTGTACCAATATTTATGTGTTTAAATAAATAAATAAATATTCTAATATGATGAAAGCACTCAACAAACAAAGTCCAGTTAAGATTTTGTCTTGAAATAATAAGAATCTGAAATATCTAGGTTTTTTTACCTAAATTTATTTAATCTAGAAGAAAACAAACCAGCTTTTAACCGAGAAAATCAGGAAAAAACTTTGGAGGTGGATAGGATACTCATTACGGACATCAATCGCCAATATAAAGCAACTTGAATCCTCAGAGAGAAAGGAAAATAGAGGGACCAAAGAACACATTACGCCGGGGATCGGGGGCAAATATCGAAAAAAGCACCTGAGAAATACCAGAAAGAAGAGGCCAACGCGGAGTAAGTTCTAGATTCCTGGTTGACTGCCTGTGCCCCATGAGGGGTTACAGGCATAAGTAATTCTGTAAGCTACTTTTTCCTGTTTTTTTATTTCGATCCCAAATACTGAATTTAAAGGGAAGACAAAACACACTTCTAACAGTGGTAAGTTAATAAATTGTTCAAGGTAACCAGTTAATATAATTAGTGTTATAAAAGATAGTCTTTACGGAAGGTGGGGTAGTGGCTTACTGGTTAGAATACATGACAACTTCTAGGCTACAATTTGAAACACGGACGTGCATACTTTAGTTTGGATAGTGAGGTTGTTTCAACAGCTTCCACAAAAAAAGAACTAACCAAGAGCTAGTAAATGAACTTATACTTAACTACTGAGATTTATTTTATTTTATTTGAACACAAATATTGGTACAAGGGGGCACCAGATATATATGTGCCACACAAAAATCGTCATTTCATTTTAATTGTGTGAGGGCTATGATACTGCTCGGATGCCCAGACCGAAACAGGTGGTTTACTTAGAGGGCCACACCCAGAGCCTGTGACCTAAAGGTCTGACAAATATTACTTACGTAGGAGGAGTTACATAAAATATTCGTTCCTATTACAGCAAACATCTTAAATATACTTTTAATCCCTTTCAGAATATAAGATTCTGTACTAGAAACTAATATTTTTGTGTATTTAATTGAAAAGTTTTAGATCACTAACAATGGGTCCATTTTGATTTTTCTAATATCTACGGAAAGACTAACTAAGAACCGAACTGAATATCTCCAGCAGATAGGTAAGAAAATAATCATGAATTAGGATTAGCTGAGCTATTTGGGTCGAAATACTCAGTCTTTCTGAAACACTAGCCACAAGTCTTTCATTGAATAGTTATAACGAGTAGTGAGTAGGAGCATAAAAAGTGGAAATCGTCTCAGTATAACATCCTTTGAAGATTTTGTCGACAGTACGACATAATAACCTAATTGAGACATTTTAGAATATGGAAATTGCATCTATTGGGATGCAAATTATTTTCAGTTTAGTCTTAGAAGCGTTAAGCAGATACTTTAGAATGCATGATGAGCAAAATCCATAAACCTTCATTAGTTGGGAACTTTTACGTGTTGCTAACAAACATTCTCAAAACCCAATGGGAAAACAGCTCTTTTACGTTAAGTGACAGACAAAATGAGTAGAAATAAGTCATTTTTACTTATTGGAAGAGAGCTGTTTTATTCATCAAAAAAAGCCTAGTTCCTAGTACAATAAAGTATGATGCAGTCACCAAGTTAGATACAGAGAGTTGGACTAGCATAATTTCTTAAGGTCAGTGAAACTAGTTGATAAAACATTATCAAGCGCAGCAAAGTAAAACTTAACATGAAGTACAGGTGTTTTAGGCCACTCTAATTGAGTGGCAAAATTTTGTTACTTGGAGCAGCTCTTCGATATACAGCTTACTCGCATACAGTCAAGTGACTCAACTGTTGGTAGTTCAGTATTTAAGAGTTGATTTTGGCATAAAAGCACCTTATTGCAACGCTATTCATGATATGCAACTGACTAAAAAACCGAAATGCGCAAGAAAATACACAAAATAGAGAAAATTTACCTGAGGTAATCACCAGGGCTTAAATCCTCCCACCTCCACGCTTTGCAAACAGCAAGTAAAAGATCAATACAGCATACAGAGGTCTTTGAAATATAATTATTAGGAGGCGGAGAGTCGTGTTTAGTCCATTTCGACCTGAAAGTCCCGCACTGTGAACACGTTAGGCCGACCATGTACCTCGAACATGGATTTAATGGACGAAAATTACGAATGATGCATTTATTGCATTTCTCCATTGATTCCTCAGGTTGTTCACTACTATGTACACAATCAGAAAGCTTCACTGAATCACTTTGGAAATTCACTGATTTCAGAAAACTGGATGGAGTTTTCATAAGACAATAATAACCACGGCCAAACTTCAAGGCTTTATCTAGAGCCAGAATATCTTCTGATGACAAAGTATACACAAATGCATTGATTATGTCGAACAAGGACAAATTCTCGGAAAACACTGAAAATTCCTGGTGCTGTTGTAATCCATCACCAGACTCGTTTGACTGCAGTTTAAACAAAGGTTCAGGACTTTCTTCATACAAATTGTGAATAAAAGGGTCAGTGCACTTGTGCTTGCTCAATGAACACTTTAGGAAAAATAGTATGGCTTTTTCAACTGAATCTGGATACCCTTGATTTTTTAAGACTTCATCGGTGGCTATTCCAACAACAGTAGATAAATTATCCAGAACCATTGCCTGGACAGTTACTGAATCAGTAACAAGAGAAATTATCCTTTCTCTTGCTCTAGTAACACGTCTAAGCTTCACGATTTTACGGATCATCAACTAACTATGTTTTCATGTTACCAACATGCGGACCACTTCAACGTCAGAATAATATTTAGCAAACCCAGCGCATTTCTTGTGACCCAAAAGTGCAGAACAAAACGGCTCAACTAAACAAAGGCAGAAGTTACTTAAGGTCACTCATTAGGAGGTGACTAGGATAAATACTCAGTATGAATAAATGCATCACGTATGTGTCGGACATTCTCATTTGTTGTCAAACAATTCAACAATGGATCTGTAGCAGTAAGTTAATCCCCGAAATCACTGACACTGTAAGTTTTCGACATTTGATGCTGACTGTATTAGGTTTATTGAACTCAGCTGGCTGAAGGCACTCAGTCACGTATCCGCACCAGAACACGAGTAGGTACGCCATGTTTCACACTTCTTGCAACTGCTCGTCATCTGAGATTGATCTATTCTTGATATATATATCCATAGCCTATCAAATATATCTTCAAACCTCTTAGCCTTAGTTTTCTGGTTTGACTGGGTTGGCATATTTTAACTATCAAATGTGCTGTTGATTAAGGTATTGTCAAACTCCTAGTACTGGTGGCATCTTAAGATCTGATGTTATTTGTACAAAATAAACATTGCGAGATCAGATTGTAGTTCGTTGGATGCATAGGATCTGTACTTTCATGTCAGTGTAGGTCCGTTAAGTACAAAAAATTAGATCCCTTCTACATTGCTTGGTGACCTTATCAAACAAAATAGTACTTGGTGATAAAGGGATTTATCGTGAAATTTACAAGCACGATAAAAAGAACCTAAATTTTTGCAGACATCTCGTCGTCTTTAGAAAGAGGACTGCAAGCAGCTTGCAGGTTTGAGTATGAATATTTCATAGATTACAGTTAAGTTGTCCCGAAAAAGTAATCCCGGTGAAATAATATCACGTCCTAAAATAACACTGATACCCTAAGTAGTTTATTTAAGTCACATTTTTATAGTTGTCAATAAATGTTTCCTGAACTGTTTCCACTGTTCAAAAATACTGTTATGCTGTTAAATTCACCAAAATATTTTTCTATTTCTCTCAAGTGGACGATTATCTCCCAGATTTGTGATTCATGAATAACTCACCATACCATGCACTTCTTTTTAATACATATAGCAAAAAAGTACACCATCAAAATAACTAGTTCCATGAGCATTCACAATCGATGCTAAATATATTAGCTTCACAAAACAAGCCCTTACTGAAACTCCTCGGTTATGCATCAAGATCAGATCACCAGTAGGTCCGTCGTCCTATGCATACCTCACAACAATTAGCCAGCTTTAATCAACCACTTCTTAACATATCAACTGCCTTCCAGATATATCTTCGGACTCCTTCATTACTACTGCTTTGAGCTGGTTTTCAATCGATTGATTATGAGGATGTCACGCATGAAAACGTTCCAAAACCCTGTACATCCACGACATCCAGATGCTGGATCACTACAAGCACTGCTTAAAGAAGTCGATGTCTCCAAATACTCTTCAATGTGATCTCTTCTTACTTTACAGTAGACTTATATATTCATTACTGTTTAAACATCAGTCCAGCTTCTTTAAGTGATATTATTAAGGAAATTGGTGCATTTTCATCAACCGTGCTGTCAGTAATATTTCAAGAGTTTTTCAAAATCTATTTAACGTATCGGTTGAAATCGAAATGTTGTTTTCTTCATATTGATCAAATTCGTAGGTTAATAATCATTTACAATATGTTGTCCTTTCGTACTTACTCCTTTAAAACTTTATCTTCAAACATCTACTTGGTGACAAATAAAATTATGGTTACATTTTCACTGTTCTACATCTGAATACCGCTTAGAAACAATATTATACCAAAAGTACCTGCAGTTAATAATAACAACCTTAAATAAATAATTACCTTGTCACTCGACCAGGGAACTAATCATATCCGTCTTAGGGGACGATATCAGCTGATTGCACTCAGTGAAGCAGAACCATGACGTCGACAGAAGAAAATTGTATCACTTACTAGAGATTGTCGTGTATAATCAGCACAAAATGTTTTCTAAACAGTACTTAATGGTTTTATATGCATACAACGAGTTTTTACAGTACCATGTTCCTTTGTAGGGTGGAGATATATATTCTCTTTACAAATAGTTGCAAATTAACTGCTATATTAATAATATTAGTCTACGTGAAAACCACAGTTGGTACGGATTACTTCCCATAGTAAGAGATTATAAACACACTCGAAGAAAGTTCGAGTGCGATGTTTTCAATATAATCCCCTCGAAGTAAAGTGATCTTGTACACTTTCCAACCATATGGCGTTTTGTCACCTGCCTTTTAAGCTCTCCTAAAGTGAACAATGAAAAAGGCGTCTCAATGTAGTATTAAATGAATAGATTTAGAAATACGTGGGGAATAGATTATTCGTCTTTGAGACAATTACAAAAAGATTTTAACGGTTTGGCAGTTTAACTATAATACACAAGTTGTCAAAGTTGTAGTACAGAAACTTCCGAATTTAGAGACGATGCTGTTGATGAAAGATATGAGCATTATTACTATTTTCAGCCGCAACTAATTTTTCAACGATATTGTGAAACCTTCTACTGCTAGAAGCATTGACTTACTTATTCATATGATTAAGGCGTGTCATTGTTGTCAATGAACTTGTATTTCGTGTGATCCTTTCTGATTTTCTGTTCTCGTCAGTAAAATGGTTCTAATGGTTGAGGACGGAATAGAAGAAGCTTTCTCTTAACGGGCTTCCGTGTCTAGTATCAGTGGATCACCAACACCTACAAGCAAGAACCTAGGTATATTAACGATAATAGAGGAAAAATAGAATTTGGTAAATCATAATAATATGTTATCCTTAGTTCTAAAGAATAGGTCAAGTGTCCTCTTAAAAGACTCCTGGGGAGTCGCTTGAACTAGCTCAGTCGGCAGCGAATTCCAGCATTTGACAACTCTTACAGAGTAGAAGTTGAGTCTGCAGTCTGTTCTGCTGTGTTGGGTCTCCAGTTTCTGGGTGTTACCTCTTGGGTTAGTGTTGTGACTAAGCTTAGGAAGATGTTTAATTGGATGACCAGAAGTATTAAGAATACTGTAAGTCATGAGAAGGTCACCTCTAAGACGCCTTCACTCTAACGTACAAACGTTAAGTGATTGGAGGCGCTCTTCATAAGGTTTGAATTTGAATCCCCGAACTGTTTTCGTGGCTCGACATTGGATACGTTGCATAGTTTCCTCATCCTTTTGGAGGGAGGGAGGAAATACTATGTTTCCGTACTCTAAATGGGATGAATAAAACTGTTCAAGAATATGTGCAAATTTCCACCGTCAGACTGACCCAAAATGCGCTTCGATGTTACCAGTGCAAGGTTGTTGAAAAGGCGTTTTTATCACAGGTAGAGTAGGGTACCAACACTCCTAAATCTTTTTCAACTTGGGAGACTTCAAGAGAGGAGTTTCTCAAGTTGTAATTATAGTCTGCAACATGTCGCAGATGAACTACTTTACACTTTGAAGTGTTGAATGTAAGTCCGTTATCATCTGCCCAACTTTGAAGTCGAGTCAGATCTTCCTGAAGTGACAGTATATCCTCTTGGTTGCGTATCTTTCTCCAAAGTTTTACATCATCAGCAAAAAGCAATAGAATATTAGAGATTCCCATTGTGAAAATTAGAACAACATATGTAAGCGAACAATTGTTTTCAATTAGATCGTCATCAGGCTTTACTCTAATATACATGAATATTTATATGAAAATGTTAGACCAATCAAAGCTATTTGAGTCAATAATAATCACAATGAAATAGAATACGTTACCAAGCATAATAATAGTTAAAAGTACAAGTTGATAGTGGGAAGATAGGTGTACTGATAGTAGTAAGAATAGTAAATTACGATAACAAAAGTCTTATCAATAATTAAACATAAGAATTAAGAGGTCAAATGCGGGTAAATAGACTGGAATAGTAATCACAAAACATTAAAATCATTACGTAATAAGAAGTATGTAAGTAAATAGATAGTGAAGAATACAAACGGAAAGAGGTAGAAAATAATTTAAAAAATGATAACCAAAATAAAATTTTTTACAAATAATAATAATGTCATTTATTAAGTTATGTCCGGCCATGGAAGGGATAGGGGGGTTACGAATTTGTTCTGTACACATAAATTGGGATGGAATGTACAAATTCCTATGACTTCTGCTATATGAAGTAGACGGGAGCGAACTCCGTTGGGAAACGATGGAGGTATACGATAGATCACTTGAAATGATTTCGATTTATCGACAATATGACCACTATCAATTAGATGTGCCAAGATAGAACTGCGTATTGTTTTTATTTGGCCCTTTCCAAACCATGCTGGTAGATGTTCACTCATTCGTTGATTAAGTTGCCTAGTAGTACGCCCGATGTAGCTATCTCCACAGGAGCAGCTGAACTTATAAATGCACATGTAGGAGGCTAACTCAGGTAACATATCCTTCGTTTAAGTAGACATCACTGGTCGACTCGAGAAAGTCAATGCAAGATAGGCTGAGTAGAAAGTTCTACTAATTACTTTTGTTAACCTATGTTTCCGAGTTGCACTAGCTACATCCCCGTTGAATGGTAATTTCATGTATAGAGGCTTCTTACGAACAGTTAAAATCTCCGGTTTCTTCCTTGTATCATACATGTACTTTTTGATGAAGGCAGCAGGGTAGCCGATCTCAGTCAGTGAGTTATAGATAAATTCCAGTTCCTGACTTAAAGTATCAACAGAACAGATCTTATTTGCTCTACTAGTGAGGCATCTAACCAAGTTTCTCTTATATTGGATAGGTGTAAAGCTATAGAAGTGAGTGTATTGGCAGGCAGAGGGTCTTTTTCTATACACGCTTCTACTTAACGAGCCATCACTTCGCCTGCTTAGTGTAACGTCAAGGAAATTCAGCTTCATGTCACACTCGCCTTCACCAGTGAAGCTAATCGCAGGATGTACACTGTTGAACTGTTCTATTTACTTACATACTTCTTATTACGTAATGATTTTAATGTTTTGTGATTACTATTCCAGTCTATTTACCCGCATTTGACCTCTTAATTCTTATGTTTAATTATTGATAAGACTTTTGTTATCGTAATTTACTATTCTTACTACTATCAGTACACCTATCTTCCCACTATCAACTTGTACTTTTAACTATTATTATGCTTGGTAACGTATTCTATTTCATTGTGATTATTATTGACTCAAATAGCTTTGATTGGTCTAACATTTTCATATAAATATTCATGTATATTAGAGTAAAGCCTGATGACGATCTAATTGAAAACAATTGTTCGCTTACATATGTTGTTCTAAAAAGCAATAGGTCGAACGATACCTGTTGTGGAAGATCGTTTATATAAATCAAGAAGAGAAAGTTCTGGGAGACCCCACTAGGACATTCCGTAACCTGAGAGAGAGAGTGAAATTAGCCCTGACCTTAAAATGTCGGTTTCTTACATATGAGGCAAGATAATCAATAAAAGGTGGTTTGAAACCCATTCGTTTAAGCTTATTGATAAGACATATATGGTTGACCCTATCAAAAGCTTTCGAGAAATCAAGGTAAATGATATCAACCTTCCCCTCGAGATCAAAGTTGATTGTCCCTCTGTCCACCGCAGTAAGCAGGTTGGTTATACAAGAATAACCCCTTCTAAAACCATGCTGTTGAGGTGAGAAGAATTTTGAGGATAATAACTATCCTTCTACACCGTCGTATATTAGAGATTCCATAGTGTTAGAAGGTATGGAGAGAAGGGCCACTGGTCGGTAGCCTGAGGGTTCACTGCGTCGAATACAAACAAACTGTGACCTACATTCCAAAATACTAACCATCATCACACCATTCACTATCGCTATGAAGTTAGGTAACGGTACAAATTATAGGACCATAACAATATGATGAGTAATCTTGAGAGGGTAAGGACAGATTATTGGAGAAAGGTTGATGAAGCAAAGATTATAAGGTTGTAAAATGATGAAAAGATGTGTGAGTAGATACAGAGACACTTAGTAAACTAAATGTTAATAAAGCACAAGGAACTCATCGTAGTACATGGTAGCATGGATTTTTTGTGATAAACAATAGATAAGCAGCGTCCATAAGGTAGGTGGCCATTTATGTGAAATAAAAATTGAAATAGAGACGAACGGCTCAATAGTGGAAGACAATGGATCATTGAATATTAAAATAACATAGAGTCAGATGAGGGGAAAAGCAACGAACGTACAAGAACGCAATATTTTGTCGATGAGAGAGCAAAGATCATGTATTTTATTGTTCAGTTATACAAGTATACGAATGACTGGTGATTATTTAAAAGTTCATAATATGGCTGCTACTGCCCCTTAAAATCTATGAAAAGGTTATGCGTAGTTCGAGCTAGGTGATAATGTCACAGTTACGGGTATACAATGACAGCCTGTCCCACAGCAGGTCATACCTTACTTTTAAAAAATGTACGGCCATATGTTTTTGAAGCTTCACGGTCAGTAATATATATGCATCATTTCTGAGTTTAAAAAACGGTTGTAGATCATAGTTTCCTCAGGGGCTTGAAACGGATGACGATATATTATTTTAAAGTAAAGACAAGGTCGTTTTTTAGCTGAGGGGCCAATAGAGCTTCCAACGAGGGGTATCTGCATCTAGCTGTGCAGCAGAAAATAGACACCTATCTTGATAGCCGATATGCGGAACGTTTCTGGATATTTTCCACCTATACCTTGTCTATCATATTCATGTCCGAAAAGATGAACGCATAGTATCTAAGGGAGGGTAGTAAGCATATTTTCCAGGGGCGAGATTGGTCTCCTTAGTCTAGAAAGTCTGTATTATGAAACCTATTAGTCTTCCACATTTGCAAGTGATAGCGAAGAAATGATCTGAAAATTCAACCATCGGGTTGAGTTTCTGGACTTTATGTTTGTTTTAGTGATAGTCTGTTGTCAAGTATCCCGAAGTGAATGATCCCTAACACTAGAATATGACGTAAAAACTGATGTGTCCACTGTTACTGAGGAAATCCAAAGTTTTTAAATGGCGTCATACTGTTATGTGAGTGTAATTATTTCTACTGGTTTCTTAGTACATTTGTTTCACTAAGATTTTGAACATGTTCAGCCATAAATTGGACTTTGATCTTCTAGTTTCCATCATGTTTTGGTTCGGAACTGCAGTTGAAAATTCTCCATTTACAAATAAAGTTTGATTCATAGGTGAAAGGGTGTTTTTTTTGTTAGTTGGGTTTAAATTCTCTGTTATGTCAGTCGACCGTCCTTCAGGAAGATACCAGGATAGAATTCGAACGTGATAATCTATAACCTTTGAAAAGTCTCTAGATTCATTGACCATCTAATAAGCATAAACCATCCACCGTCTTATATGTACTGTCGTGGTGAATGGAGGGACTCAAAATTAACCGGAGTATCTCATTGCTAACATGAGAAGGGAGCTATGAGCACTAATATCGGTATCTAATTTCTTGAAATTTAATGTTTGATGTGATGCTTCGACACAGCAAACTGCAACTAAAGTTCACTAAGATCAAACTCTAGGAGTTTAGATTTCTCAGATATTATTATTTTTATTGGGACGTCCATGAGTGTGCATTGATAAGTTTCGTGAGGAAACAATTGCGGGTTTTACTGCGTATGTAATCTTACGCAAATTCTAGCTTACGTTCACATTGTATTCACAGTATAGATCACTAACGTAGATGATCTGTGTCGAATGATTGGGGGCCTACTCGAGTCAGAAGAGAAAAGTGTGACGAACCACTAACTTGAAAGTCACAACTCTCAGTCAACACCTAATGCAGATCACCCTCCCGTCATGTCAAGGTACAATGGATGCTTTGAAAACATTAGAGCATCAGCATCAGATTACGTCGCAGCATGCTGTAGAGCGTACCTCATACTCTGGTTAGTTGACTTAAAATTCACACATCAAGCTAAACTAAACGTATTCTCGTCATTGTCATCTGAAAGACTCCTATGTCGACTTCGCAATCGACATTCGAAAATCCGTATTCAGCCTCACCCTGACTCCCTCCACTTTCTTCCATGTTGGTATATAAGGGAAATAATTGACGGGTAGTTGAAAAACAGTTTTGTATTGCTCTATCATGGCCAGCAAATTTAGATTCTTATCGAATACACACTTAGCTTCATAAGCATCAACCTCAGTTAAGGTGCAGAGACAATCTGTTTTTTAATATGCGCTTACGTCCATTAGGTCAAAGCTTTTTTTGTTGAAGAGTATTTGAATACTTAGCTTTCATTTTATTAGTTTATCATAAATACAGTTTTCAGAATAGAAAACTGCACTGTTAATAAGTTATTTTTCCGAGAATTTGATGATTTTTTCTTAAATAGGACAGTGTTCAATATTAATGTCTTGTAACTTGAAGGTCGACTTCCTTAATCAAGGTCGGTGATCACCTGTTCAACGATGACATTTTTATGTGTCCCGTTAAAATTGTCTACTGAAGTTGACGTAATAACACCACTAAAAAAGTTCATAACTGGGAAGTTTGGAGAAGCTGTTGCTATGCAGTGTATTGAATCCCTAAAAAAGTTCAGTGTGCTTCGCTACGACGCCTGTTTTGGACGCAATGAAGATCTAGGCAGTCGAATTCAGTCACTTGCGTTGTGAGTTTCCACTTAAATTGTTCACGTTTTTTGTATCATTTGGCTCGCATTACAATGGCTTCTACGTTTTGATCAATATCCTTACTATATCATTATTGTGTGCAATCTCATTGGTTTATTGTCGTCTAATATATATATATATGTAGTTGAAGATAACGATTTTTTAAATAGATTTACCGGTGGTCTCAACGTCTTGATACCATAGGCTCTATAGGTCTACTAATTTTGAGTGTTGGGACTAGTTTATCACATGATCATCTATTATTTACATACAATTAGGGTCGAGGACAATGTTTTTTATACATGTACTGGTTTCAAAGCAGTATTGGCCAATACTAATACTGCGGATTTCAAATCCACAGAATCTCCCCTTCAAATTGCTCCTGTTTTTAAATCATTCGAACAGAACTTTTGTATCAGAAATGTATTGGATAACTTTGTTTAATTATGACACCAGATAATCGAGTTACGTTTTACTACCGCAAGCCGCTTTTTCACATCTTCAGTGATCAAAATTTCAACCTGGATGGGTAAGTATTTTGTGTCTCAATGATGGAAATATCCACATTTATATAACTGTCCTGTTAATGACATTTCTTTGGATAAGACAAATAATTTATAGTCGGTCATCAATCGATCCTTACTTCAAGTTCACTGAATACTAACATACAATCACTAGATGTTATGATAAAAGTACCTTAGATACTAAATGTAATCATATTCCGTTGGTTCACTTACGACTTTTTGCAACTTATAATCGTATTCAAGATCTATGTACTAGAGTTCGACCTCCAGTATTTGGTCTTCAAATTATTCTGAATTGTGCACTCTGATGTGATTGGAACTTTCATTGTCATATTGACAAACATCCATTCATCTTCGTTTTTTATTCATCATTTATACAGATATCATAATGTATTATGGAGTTTAGAAAAGCGACTCAATACATCAGAAGATCTAGGTATCCATTGGAATTGGAGTGATATATGGCACAAAAATTATTCAAGTAAAATTATCTCTTCTCTGATTTGTTGTAACATTTCTTTTAGAACACTACTCTTTTAACTTCGAGCAGGCGAATATAATCTTTTGTTATGCTGCCGCTCACTCCAATTTGGCTAAAACATACGATTTAAACTGTGAACATTCGTTATTGAAGGCTATTTCGAGCTACAAGGTAGGTCATTGAAAATCATTAGATATATTTAATTAATCCCTGTTTGTTAATGTGCATACAGCTCATTTGTACTTATAATCTTTGCCGAGTATCCTTTAGTGTTAATCATTGACACATATACACAAGAAAGTTGAATGAAGTATGTATTAAGTTTATCAAACATTAAAAAACATCTTCCATAAAATCACGTATATCAGGAAACACATAATTTGCTACTTATGTTTTGTTGTTCTGACCCTTATACACGGTGGATATCCATAGAAAAGTACTGTAATGATTCCCATGAATAAGTGAACAGCAAGAAGTGTCTTGTGCAACTGGCTTTGTTTTATTGTTTGTGTTTGGCCTTCTTTTAAAACAGCTGACTACCGAAGGGTTAACCTTTCAGCGCCTATTAAACTGATTTTGCAGAAATTTTAACTACTTGCTTTACCTTATTATTATGTATGGGATGATCTATTTTACCAAAAAGTTAGTTACAGTATTTCATTTTTTTGTGTTGAGGATTCTTCACTGAAATGTAAAATTGGCGTTGAGTAACAGGATCATTATTATCCTGAATCGAAAGTACATCTTCAGTTCTTTAGAAGTCTACTCAGTATGCATAATTTTTTTTCAAGCATTTTGAGTCTTCTATCAACCAGTAGTTACCTAGACATGTTCTGGTGATGGACTCTAGAATTAACAAATTCATAAATGAACACTAGTCCAGTCACTGTAAATCATTCACCAGAAAAAGTCCTAATGGCCCTTACTGTACGTAATTGTTTGTCTCGAACTTAACCAAGTGAACGGTGGTGTAATCCAGAGATATAGCAAACGAACCACAATAATAATTCAGAAACATCACCAGAATTGTCTTTATAGGGGTTTGTAGAGATTGTATTATTATTATTAATAATGACTTTATCCAATATAATATTTTGGTACGAGGTATTTCAAAAAGTTTTTGTACCAAAAAACAAAAAGAAATGATAAGAGAAGGCGAAAAAATCTGAGTCTGTACAACTTATCAAATTTGAGACATGCGTTAGGATACAGGTTACTGACTACGTTAACTCTAACAGCCTGTTCGTCACAGAGTATATTTGCTAAGTAAGGTATTACAGAATTCTTATAGATTTGCTTGCGTGCATGGATTTTAACGTATTTACGTCTCGTCCTACCAGAAGTGAATTTACAAGTCAATCTAAGCTAGACCACCATTGAAAACCTTGAGGCACTAGTTGGACGCTTTGCCCTAGTACGAAACTCTTCAGTGTGCGTTCATGGTTCCACACACGGAACTCGAACACACAACCCTCGGTCTTGCGCGCAAAATGTTATCCACCACAATTAATGAAGGTTTGTGCAAGTTCATGGATCAATTGAAGCGAGACATAAACACGGTTAGATGCCAGATCAGCAGTCTAAAGGTTTAGCGTTCACGCTTGATACCGAAAGCCATGCGTTTGGGTTCCTCATGCGGGACAGTGGATGCCCACCGATGAGTAGTCCCATACTTGGACGAAACGGCTGTCCAACTATTTCAGGTTTTCAATAGTGGTCTAGCGTACATCGACTCATGAATTCAACTGTTAAAATACTACAAGATTAATAAAAAAATATTGTTGTTGGTACTAGGCTGTCGATAATCTTGTAGTGGATAAGAACTCAAGTGGGTAAGACCAATTGTTGCTTGATGCACAACTACACAGTGGTTTAGTAAAATGTGAAAATCATACTTCTTTGGATTGTCTCTTACAAGATTTATTGTTCCGTCGTTCCTGTTGTTGTCTTGATTGCCTTCAGTTTCCTTCTCACTTCTCTTCATTTCAATCTTCCAATTCTTCTCGCAGTTATTCCACTTCCGACTGGTAGTACATGCATTCAGTCAGCTACAACGTAGGACCAGGCACACACATGCATCGATCCAAGTTGCCATACCTCATTGGCACAACAAGATGAACACCGAATTCATAGAAGTAGTTTACTGAATGGTGGTAATATATAAAAGAAAGATTGTGTGTGTATAAGGAGGAAAGAAAGACATGAAGCGATTTTGTTCTCATAGTTTAAGGGAAGACAAAAAGTGTATGCACCTACTCCATTGTGATCGATTCTGAACCATATCACGCGGACCCCAACCAAGTAGTCTGCATCTACCGACATGGCTCAGACTAAAAGTTAGTGACTTAAAGTACTGATGCCATGTTTTGGTTTGGCCGCCCCTAACTCTCTCTCAAACTCCACCTGTAGCTCTTCTAGAGTTACTGCCTGTCCCAAACCCGAGTAAAGGAGGAGGGTTTGGCATGGGGTTAGTGACCTCATTCCGTAGAAATCTAACTCGTCAAAAAAGCGCTAACCAGAAAAATAATTCAAACCATCTAAACTCTGCCCTGGTAGTTAAAGGAAGAATTATGATGCCTCATGATGAAAGCGGAGATTCTTCGGAAGTCACGAGACCGATGCACCTTCTAACAATCAGAACAACACTCTTTATAGGTACATGGAACGTCCGGATAATGTGGGAGACAGGGGAGACCATTCAAATAGCAATTAAAATGAGGAGATACAAATTGGCAGTACTTTGAATCAGCGGAACCCATTGGACACAAGCTAGACAGCAAAGGCTAGATGCGGGAGAGATGCTGCTTTACTCTGGTCACGAGGAGGAAAATGCTCCACACACTCAGGGAGTTGCTCTAATGCTCTGCGGAGAAGCATGAAATGCACTTGTAGGACGGGAATCTTATGAGTCTAGAATTATCAAAGCATCATTCAAAACAAAGAAGGAGGAGATCACAATGAATGTTATCCAATGTTATGCATCCACAAATGATAGCAATGACGACGATAAAGATCAGTTCTATGAGAGGCTGCATTCAATCATAGCTAAGTGCCCAATAAAGGACCTGACCATCTTGATGGGGGATCTAAATGCTAAAGTCGGACTGTAAAACACAGGATATAAAGATATAATTGGACGACATGGACTAGGAGAGATAAATGATAATGGGGAGAGACTGCAAATCTATGTGTATTCAACAAATTGGTTATAGGTGGCACAATATTTCCACACAAACTCATACACAAAGCTACATGGATCTCACTGGACCACACCACAGAGAACCAGATAGATCATATTTGTATCACCAAAGCAACACCTACAGACTTTTTTATAGATGTCACTTCACCAACGATCGAAGAAGTCAAGATGACCATCAGACAAATCAAGAGCATGAAAGCGGCAGGACCTGACAATATACCAGCTGAAGCACTGAGGTCAGACATTGAAGTAACTGCAAACATGCTTCTCCTTCTATTCAAGAAGATTTGGGAGGAAGAACAAGTGCCATAGACAGACTGTAAAGAAGGATACATCATTAAGATACCAAAAAAGAGATCTGAGTAAATGTGAGAATTACAGAGGCATCACACTGTTATCAGTAGCAGGAACAGTTTTCAACAGAGTGTTGCTGAACTGGATGAAAGATTCAGGAGACGTCCTACTTCGAGATCAACGGGCTGGATTCCGTAAGGATCGGTCGAGCACAGACAAAGTCGCTACACTACGGATCATCTTGAAACAATCAATTGAGTGGAACTCGTCACTATACATCAATTTCATTGACTATGAGAAGGCGTTTGACAGTGTGGATAAGAGAACACCAAGTAAAATTTTCGATACGACTGTCTACTCTCTCCCTTCCTCTTTCTTCTGATGATTGACTGGATTATGAAGGCTTCGACATCTGACAGGAAGCACGGAATACTTTGGACATCTCATAATCAACTAGAGGATTTGGACTTCGCAGATGACCTGGCCCTCCCATCTCATACACACGAATAAATACAGACGAAGACAACTAGTGTAGCAGCAGTCTCTGCATCAATAGGCCTCAACATACACAAAAGAAAAAGCAAGATCCTCAAATACAACACGGAAAACACTGACCCAATCACACTTGATGGAAAACCCTGGAATCTTTTACGCACCTGGGAAGCACCGTTCATGAACAAGAATTGGGATTGCTGTTTTTAGTCTTACTGTTCTTCAACCGACCTGTCTGCCATGTTAGGACCTTGAGGAACGATTGTTCCAGCCAGTATAGCTCGATTGGTTCATCACAATAAACAAGTCCGAACACCACGTCAAGGTAGCAGCAACGGTCGGGGCTGGTACATACTGTCTATATCTGCAAATATAAGTAGCATACACCACAACAGTGCACTAGGTATGTCTTGGGAACTTTACTGACACAAAAACCTAATAAACACTCATGTTCGTGTTTAGAATTATTTTCTAGAATCTATGCTTGTAATCAGGAAAACTGGTAACAGAAAAATGTATCTCATTTCAATTAAAAGCGACAGTGTAGTAAATAATCAATAAGTATGAATAAGGGAGTGCAATTGCTTTTTTCTTAGGTAAGCTGAAAACATGATCAGTAGTTCACCCAGTATGTTCATACACTAATTATAAGTGACTAAAAACTTCGATGTAGTTTGGACATCCATACATTTGTAGTCATCTAAGAAAGTGAATTTGATTCACGAGTAATTTCTGAACATGAAAGAAGTCCACTGCAAATTTTGATTATTTACAGTAAACGCTTGTGCACGTACAACACACGTCTAGTTTAAAAATGTACTCATAAACGTTATGTTTTTGTTTATCAATTAGGAGGTTAAAGGGTGATAGAGGAGATCTAGTCCTCATCTGCTAGGAAATTTCAAGTTTTTGCGTTAAGTACGTAACGTGTCAGAAAAGCAGTACATAGTATCAAGCAACATAATTGAAAATCGATCCCCTTTTCCTTGTATCCGGTCTTTTTTCGATTTTTATTTTTGTTGTTTTGTGCCAACCGGAACACTGAGCTTTTCCATCAACGAATGTGACTTAATGTAGCTTCATTTTTTCACAAGCATTTCATTCTATCTTTTTATTTATAATAATACATTTAGAAAATATAAACTATATTTCTAGGTAGCTGCTGAGGCCTTCGATTATCTTGCATCACATACGGAGCAATCCTCTAATGATATGACTCAAGAGGTACTGTCTGTATTCAGTGACGTTATGATTGCACAAGCGAATGAATGCAACTTTCTTCGACTTCGAAACGGTAATCAGTTTGCTCATGTTTCTCTTTGCAAAAAATTTAAAAGTTTCTGAGGACTTTTGTAGGGAAATCTTCAGATCTGACAGTATGTCTAAAATCAATATGATAAGCAAAACGTTTCCTTTATTTTTTTTCCTGTCTTGTAAAGATATGATTACAATATTGCCAGGTGGTGTCTTAGCTGTAATGGCGCTCATTTTGTCCTACGTTCCTAAATTTAGCACAGTTTCTGTAAATTAATTCCAAATCGTAAGAAAATTTCACTGTAAACCAGACAAATAAATACAGTAGTGTGAAAATTCCTGACTAATCGCTCTACGAAAATTCGTTTGACAAAAAGTAGCTAACCTCTTAGATTATCTGTTTGTTCATCTTGTATAGTTATTTAGTCGTTATACTTTGTCACTTAACTCCGAATGTTCTTTTAGAACTATTGCGGGTAAATAGTGGTCACAGTTTCAACTTTGCAATCACTTCTAGGCTGAATCACTAGTTATTTTCAATCACTGATATATTAATTTTTGTACGTCCGAACCTGACCGTCGATGAATTCGGAATACATAGGTTTTTATTAACATATCTAATTTAAATCCCTCACAAATTTCACATAGCTGCTAACAAAATTTGAAAGCAGCTAGCTGGTAGAGGTTTGCATAATATAAATTAGCAATTTTGCATATCTTAGAAGAACTGTTTGTGATACCGAATAAATCGTAAGTTAAAATATCATTCCATTTACGTTTGTGACAAAACGAGCATTTTTTGTCCCATTATTCTAGTGTGTTATATTTCAGAGGTTAAATTATTTAAAGTTCAGCAATTAATACCCAAGCTTGAGTCCGTCCTTCATTGCGACTCGGATAACTGGTTGTCATCGCTAGCCGTTACAAAGTATGTAGCTCGAAGCCGAGTAAATAATTGTGCACTCGGCAAATGATGTATATTATTTCTGTATTTTGCAAAGTATTATCAGAACTGACCATTGCTACTACCTCGACGTGGTGTTCGGACTTGTCTATTGTGATGAACCAATCGAGCTATACTGGCTGGAACAATCGTTCCTCAAGGTCCAGACAGGTCGGTTGAAGAACAGTAAGACTAAAAACAGCAATCCCAAGGTGTCATAAGGCGAAGTTGTACTGCTGACTGTACAGAGGTGTTACGGCAGTAAAGTGTTTCCTTCAGACAACCAGCATAAAAGTGATGCTGCCTTCCCACAAGAAAGGGTGGGGTTAGAAAAGGTCAAACCTAAAAATGCACACCTCGCCTTATCCTACGGATATCTGTCTCCGGTGTTTATGTCTAACTTCAACTGATCCACGAAGTTGAGCATCCATTCACCAATTGTCTTCAGTGAGTTCCTATCTCACAACAGACGTGGTTTTGGACTCCACTGGTCACTGCTTCCCACTAGAACTCCAGGACACCGTTGGATGCGAGCTCAGTGGTCTATCGGTTAAGGGCTTCGGCTCGAGACTGGTAGGTCCTGGGTTCGAATCTCGCTCGCGAGAGCGGGTTCGTGGATGCGCATTGCTGAGGAGTCCCATAATAGGACGAAACGGCCGTCCAGTGCTTCCAGGTTTTCGATGGTGGTCTAGCTTCAATTGACTCATGATTTCAACTTTGAAAAATACTGAAATCTCCACAAATCCCCTTCTAAATAATATATTTGTAATATCCCAATGAGTAGAAAAATTAGGTTTTCTGATGTTTCGTGATTCAGTGTAAGCCACTTCTTCAGAGAATAAATAACCAAATTAACATTAATCCAAGTTTAAATAGTACAACGGAACAATCAAAGAATTTTAGGTGATCAATCAAAAACAGGTCTGAATAAATCAATGTCACGTCATTTCATTTCGGTCAAGGTGATTTATAAGCGACTTGTAAGTAATTATGTGTGTATGTATGCACTGTTAATAATGACCAAATGTGTGACCTTTATAATGAAAAAGAGTTTAATTCGTAATGTAATGGTGTGAAATTGTAAATAATATCAGACTAAGTGACTAGGATAGATGGTCCAGGTAGGATGTATGCTGTGGGATTAAGCATTATATGGAAAGCTTCAGCTACTCTTCTTTCTTTGTAGTTGGAAAAACCTTTTTGTAGTATTTTGATATTTTTGAAGTCGATTTGATGATTGTTGAAAATGGCGTGAACTGCTATCGCCGATTTAATTTGAAGTCTATCTAATTCTACAGGATTATTAGGTTTCTGTGTGTACCTAATATGTTCTTTGGCGCGAGTCAAGATTTCGCGAGATGATCACAATCGATACAACCTAATTTGTAGACACAGTTCTGTGTCGACATGAAAGAGATTTTTTCTTTTAACCGAACTAAAGTATTTCGAAGTGTGTTCGTTGTTTTGTAATATACTTTAATTCTGTGTTGTCTTAAGATCCTTTGGAGTTCTTCAGTTGTGCCATGACGGTAAGGTAAAACTGCAGTACCAACCCACGGCATTTCATTCGAGTTGTTATTATTATTACGTGATAAACTGTCTTGTTTTAATAAACTTCTAATAATCTTCATAGGAAAATTATTAAATTGTAAGATGCTGATTACATTATTTTGTTCTTTTTGTTTGTCCTCTTCTGAGGTGATGATCTTGTTGGCTCTTCTAAATATATTTAAGGCTAACGAGATTTTCGCACTGAACGGATATGCTGAATGGAAGTCAATATAACGATTCGAGTGTGTGGGCTTTCGGTAGATGGATAGATTTAGAACTCCATTTTCATTCCTTTTTACTAAGCAATCTAAGAACGGCAGCTCACCATGTTCATTTTCATTCTCCTTCGTGAATTCGATGTGAGATGAAAGTGTATTTATCCGTTTTGAAAACGATCTTAGATGAGTCTTTTTTATCACTACAAAGGTATCATCTACATATCTAAGCCAAATTCGTGGTTTGATGTCGTTGGTGAAGATACTTGATTCTATGTGTGTCATGAAGAGGTTGGCCACAATCGGGGACACGGGGGAACCCATTACTGCACCATTTATTTGTCTATATAACATTCCGTTGAAGGTGAATAGAGTCGAATTTAAGCAGAGTTTCAATGATCTCATAATTAAACTGATGCTTAAAGGACATCTGTCAGATAGAGTATTGTCATTCTCTAGTAAGCTACTAATGAAATCTAAGCATTTATCAATAGGAATACTAGTATATAACGAGACAACATCAAAGCTTACAATGACTTCATTCTTCTCGATAATTAGTTCCGATAATTTTGATTTGAAGTGATATGTATCTTTAATCATATTATGTGAGTTGAGCTGTAATGGCTTTAAAATGCTGCTTAGATATTTAGATAAAGCATATGTCGGTGTGTTGGTGAAGTCTACTATCGATCTTAGAGGGATATCTGGTTTATGAATTTTCGGTAAACCATAAAACCGTGAAGTATTACATGATTTTGGATACAGAGCAAACCACAGGGAGGCTCCAATGACTGGTTTTAGCTCTTTCAAAAGTTCACTTGTATCTGATTTGACTTTGTTTTTCATCGTTTGATAATTTGATTGATTGATCTTTTCATATGATCCTGTTGCAAGATGTTCAAGAGCTTTATTAATATAATCTATCCTATTCATGACTACTGTTGTGTTGCCCTTATCTGCTTTTGTGATTATGATCGTTTTGTCATTTTTAAGCGAATGCAGGGCCTTGTATTCTTCTTTTGAGATGTTTAGTGTAAGGTGTTTTTGTTTGGTCAAGATATGGGACGTCTTTAGACGTAACAAATGCGATTCTTTTTCTGGTTGATTGTTCCGTTGTACTATTTAAACTTGGATTAATGTTAATTTGGTTATTTATTCTCTGAAGAAGTGGCTTACACTGAATCACGAAACGTCAGAAAACCTAATTTTTCTACTCATTGGGATATTACAAATATATTATTTAGAAGGGGATTTGTGGAGATTTCAGTATTTTTCAAAGTTGAAATCATGAGTCAATTGAAGCTAGACCACCATCGAAAACCTGGAAGCACTGGACGGCCGTTTCGTCCTATTATGGGACTCCTCAGCAATGCGCATCCACGAACCCGCTCTCGCGAGCGAGATTCGAACCCAGGACCTACCAGTCTCGAGCCGAAGCCCTTAACCGATAGACCACTGAGCTCGCATCCAACGGTGTCCTGGAGTTCTAGTGGGAAGCAGTGACCAGTGGAGTCCAAAACCACGTCTGTTGTGAGATAGGAACTCACTGAAGACAATTGGTGAATGGATGCTCAACTTCGTGGATCAGTTGAAGTTAGACATTAACACTGTTGGACGCGAGCTCAGTGGTCCATCGGTTAAGGGCTTCGGCTCGAGACTGGTAGGTCCTGGGTTCGAATCTCGCTCGCGAGAGCGGGTTCGTGGATGTGCATTGCTGAGGAGTCCCATAATAGGACGAAACGGCCGTCCAGTGCTTCCAGGTTTTCGATGGTGGTCTAGCTTCAATTGACTCATGATTTCAAATATATTATTTATTTATAACAATCTACCCAATGCTCAGTTTATTCGAAATTATCAAATCAAAACTTGGTAATGTTGTGATATTGTTATAACTGATTTCAAAAAGGGGAGCACTCAATTAAAATATCCGTCTGTAATTGTTCTAACATGATGATCCTTCTTCAGCTTAATTTTAGCTAACTGAAAAGTTGGAGATTGTCTTTTCTTCAGTTGTACTATGGTGTTAAGCGAGTATATTTCTGAAGAAAGGTCACTCGATTGTGTTTAGACAGTATGTTCCTCTAGAGAAAGGCAAATGCTCCCGAACTTCATTTACGTTAGCTATCGGTTTCACATTAGACTGATGGGAGACAATATCGAATACGACATTTAGAATACATTAGTTCTCAATGTTTTATAGTTTTCAAGACTATTCTTTCTTCACCTTCACTAGTATTTTTATATAGAATGCTTCTTAATATTTGTAAAACTAGCATATGTTTAAGAAAGCAAAGTATTCACTGATCTCTCTTATTGTTTCTTTTGAACTCCACTTAAGATGAACCTGAATATCGACGAATTGTCAACCACATTAATAAATTGTACAAGAAGTGTTTGGATTCGTTTTCTATGATTTCCAGTTGTCTTCAAGATGAAGACATCATTAAATCCGTACCAGAGGTACGTTTATCCATTTTTCACACTATTATTATTTATTTAGGACTGGTATCGTGTTATTAAAACTAAACAGAATTATTACAGAATTCTGGCTACTACTTATTTGGGAGATGAGAAGCTAAGGCGTAAAAGGGACACTAAGGTAATAATTTCGATAAATTATGTTGTTTAAAAAATGAAGCAGCAAGTTTCCGAAGTTCATAATATTAATATTCTTGTTTATTTTGAAGTCATGGATATTTAGGAACTTTTATTTTTTGCTGTTAGTATTGATTTTTTAAAAATTTAGCATAAATTTGTTTGTTTTTAAAGTTTTTGAATAAAAATAAGTCAATATTTAAAGTTGTTTCCGCTTTAATAATGTACTGCCTTAAAATACTACTTGAATTCAAGTGTTCAGACGGAAATTAGTGATCTTTTTTCTGATCAAAAACCCCATAGTCATTCTGTTTATTCATCTCTCTAGAACATGGTTTTAACAGGATGGGAACATATGTAAGTTAATAGTATTCGGTCGTTGATGCCTTGAAAGTGTTGAGTTGCCGTCACTGACCTAGTAGTGTTAAAGTTGGGCTTAGAGTACACGATAAGAATTACATATAGTTTGATGAAGCTGTGAATGTTCATTGGCCGAGGTGATTGGAACATACTTTATCCACTCCCAGCCTCCCCCCATATAGACACTCAATCATAATTGGCGTTTAAGTGGGTTGAAAGAAATCTAGGGACCACCAAACTAAAAGAGCATTGGTTCGTACAATCAGTAATCATTGGCTTGAGTCATGTCAGGAGGTGCAGACTTATTGTTTGGGATTTGTACAGTCATCGTAATCCGTGGTTAGAGACTTTGGATAAAATACTTGGAAGTCGTGCTAATGTATTAATTCTTTATTTTTAGTTCAGATATGGTAAACGTATGGTTAAATATCAGTTTGCTGAATACATTAAGTAAGTAGTTCAGTACCAAGTATTGATTATTTACCTTGAAGACTTGTTAGCACCGAAGCTTTCCTTAACTTTTGCAATCTACTTTGTCGAATATCATATCTGTTTTGCACTTAGTATGGGTGTCTTTATTCACTGGGTCTGTCTAGTGTATAATCTAAGTCCGAAATAATTATCATTAACTTTTTTTGATTTTCTATTTACATTTGTTTCTGCTCAACAGGAATCTAGCACACTTCTAGTCTCTAAATTCACACGTAGTCTTTCATCTCGTCGTTGGTCTGAAACGTTTCAAACTGTTAATGAGACTGAAATAAGTGGTGAATCTCAACCTGCTTCTGTTTTAACAAACGATATTATAGCAAAAGAGATGTTTCAAATACCCTTACTTCCTTCTGATTCAGGTGATATTTTTGAAATGTTGGTCCCATTTCCCGTCCTTGAAGCTCTTATCATAGCAAATGATACACGGACTGCAATCATCAATTCAGAATTTGCTAAATTGAGGAATGCTGATACAATTCTTGAAAGGTACGCTGTTATTCTGATTTACCACTTTTCAAGTAATCAGTATGTTTATATTGACAGTGGTCTTATTATTTTGTGTAGGATAAGATGTGTTGCACTTAGTGGTATAATAAATTCATTTAGTAAGGTTTTTTATTTTATTTATTTATTTAAACACATAAATATTGGTACAAGGAAGCACCAAATACATATGCGCCTCACAAATCTCATTCGATTTGTGTGAGGGCTGTGATACTGCCCAGGTGCCCAAACTGAAGCAGGTGGTTTGCTTAGGGGACCACACTCGGAGCCTTTGACTTAGAGATCTGATCCACAAGGCAGTGGAGCATCGTGCGGAGATGCAGTTCCATGGTAGCGGGTGATCAATGATTGATTCGTACGCCATTTGTTCCTTCAGGATACTGGAGCCCATTTGTACCATTGGTTTGGAATCAGGGTTTTCCAACTCCCCTAGGTGGACTCGCCTTGTCCACCAACCCGGTTAAAGCGCCGGACATTCGCTTTTCGTCCTCTCACTTTTGTAAACAACAGTAGTGCCACGAGAAGGCAGTGAGTAGGACTTCCCTGGCAGAGGCTATATATTCGCTGGCCATGTGAGAGCATTTCAAGAGGGAGAGCAGTCTCTCCCCACTCTCAGCCATACCAGGGCATTTGGGGGCTTTTGTAAGGTAGACCAGTGTTATTGTTAACGGTCATGTTAAACACGGAGTCCGCTCTAGATTGATGATTATCCTAAGAAAAAATTGATGAAACCTTCTTATTTTATTCTAAGTTGTAATACTGATTTCTTTGCGAATATTTAACTAATTATGAGCCATTTGACAAAAATAAACGTTTATTTTACCATCTAAGTTACTTTCTATAAATAACAAGGAAAGTTGTTCAAAGTGAATAAATACCGCCGGAAATTTAAAACTATACCAAATCAATAGTTGTTGTTTTAATTTCTATTCTCTTATCCTTGAACGTACAATCAACCTAGGTTTGATAATAGCTTTTATAATAATTTATTAAATTCAATCAATATATTTGTACACAAACAGTTTTGTTCATTGCTTTTTCTAATTGACCTTCAAAAGTTATTTCTTTTTGTAACATTTTTATGAGGTCTGTTGTAGAGATATCATCTCACTGAAGACAATTGGTGAACGGTCGCTCAAAATCGTGGATTGGTTGAAGTTAGACATTAACACCGTCGGATGCCAGCTCAGTGGTCTATCGGTTAAGGGCTTCGGCTCGAGACTGGTAGGTCCTGGGTTCGAATCTCGCTCGCGAGAGCGGGTTCGTGGATGCGCACTGCTGAGGAGTCCCACAATAGGACGAAACGGCCGTCCAGTGCTTCCAGGTTTTCGATGGTGGTCTAGCTTCAATTGACTCATGATTTCAACTGTGAAAAGACTAATATTTATCAATTTTTTTCTTTGAACAATATTTTTCATATTGTATTCATGTATTTTAATGAATTTATTCAGTAGTATTGTGAAACCTTGTCAAGCTATCGACCTATTAAGCTTAATTAGTTTGATTTTATTCATCATTTTGATGTCAGAAACTTAAATTTTGGAAAAAAAAAAACACATTTTTCCTTATCATTACTTTTTTGTTTGATTCTTTCAGTGAAATGAATCAACACAATTTTCCACGTTCATTGGAACTCAGTGTATTTGAACTGATTTGCGAAGCATTATTAAAAGAATCTGTCAAGGTTCATCAATCTGGTGGAGTAGAAAATTTGAGACGTAAAGTTCATTCACTGAAGCCATTAGCTGGAGAACGCTTCAAAACTCTTGCAGAGGTATTAATTTTATCCACTTTTAAAGAAATAAATGCTTGATTGTAAGCAAAGATAGATAGTGGCTAGCAGTGGAATCCAGGACGCCCGTTTCCTCCTCAGGACTCCGTAGCTGAGTCGATAACGCGATGACGTTTGAAGCGAAAGGTACTGTTTTCGAGTCCCAGAGTGAACGTCAACTCTGAGATGCAGGTACATCCAGCTGACGAGTCCCAAATAGGACAGAACGCGTCCTGGATTCCACTGCTAGCTGCTATCCATCTTTGCTTACAATGCTTTTGAAATAAGGCTATATCGAGGCGATACGCACAGTATGCACATATGCCAATAAGAGACTGACCAGTTGCAGTCCTAAACATCAATGGGAAGATTCAATCAAGTAATACTAAGTGAATTTAAATACTTGATTATAATATTTTTTGCCTGTGGAATTGATGTTGTTGAGTATGAACACTCTCTTCTTGTTAGTTGCATTCAAACAGCGCATATAGCCTTTTTCGATGTTGAGTCTGTTGGTTTAAAGTAGATGTAATGTTACTCCATCGGAAAACTTCACCTAGGTGATAAAAACGTCTTTATTACAGTCCGAAAAATCTGTCCGTGTAAAATTTTATTACAAGTAATAGAATCGTGATCACAATGCGCATGTAATCAATACGTGAATCGAACTCTGATCCAAAATAAACACTTGACTTTCTTTTAAGATTAACTATAAAGTTATTTACATTAACAAATACAACTACAAATTTTAAAGTCATCAATATGATTGTACATATAAGTGATAACTTCACGTATTATTCAGGTCGACTCACAATTAATATCTACATGAAATATGCTAAATGGTATGTTTTTTTCTTTCTGGTCTCATTGTATTTAAAAGTCGTCTTTTGAATAGATAAGATTGAGTCATTCTATTGTTATATTTCAGATTGGTACACTGTACTGAAGATCTAAAAATGCAGATTTATGGCTAGGACTGTACTATGATATGATATTTACTCATCATCCAACTCCGTTACATATTTTTCTAAAAGGGTTAGACTAGATTACGATTGTTATAAAGTTCTTTTGTAAATGTTGTCTTAAAGAATTCTCCTACTGTTGAATGAACTTGGTTGTTAAAAGTATATGATAGGAAGATCACAGACAACCTCACCAAGTATGCCACGAAAATCTTATATTTCTCACAAAGAATACTAGATTGTTTCTAGTAGACTGCAGATGTCAGTGAACTGTGTATAATTATTCTTTGAGTGCCTATGTAAGGGTCATGTTTATGAGTCCCTGGATTTCGAGTGAAAATGAGTTTATTCATTTACTCTTTAGTTCATTATTTATGCGAAGATATCGAGCAGTTATTGTTAATCATTAAAAGAATAATTTGTGTTGTATAATTATTGCGTATTGCGATAAGACTACACTAAATGCTACCGGTTGACCAAATTCCGATATCCTAGTTCGACCCCAATACTGTTACCCAACTCCAATAAATCAGAACACAGCCGTCAAATGAGAATTGTTTATGGGGTCAGCAGCAGAACAAAAATGGTTTACAGAAAAGGCATATTTATACAGTTAAGCTGACTATTAACAGTAACCGATGGAAAGGAAGGGCACGTAAAGGTTATAATTAGGACAACTCAAAATTGACCAATAGGGAAACGACACATGAAAGTCATAGTTAGGACAACTGTAATAATGGCCAATAGGAAATAACATGTAAAATATGTGAAGAGACTTTAAATATGCCAATTTACATTCGAGATAATTTTTGGGATATTCCTGTGAATATCCTAACAATTATGATATTAGAAAAACACCATTAGCAAGTAAACTTATTTGTGGTTTTTTAAGTGTGATATAACTGAGTTTATTGATATAATAATAAAAGGAGATTTGTATGAACGGTAAACTAGTCCCAAGCAAGTACTAATGGTCCCCATGATGTTTCACTGAAAATTAGGAAAATCAGCAGGCAACTATCCTCTGACTTCGATCAACTGTTATTAAATATAAATACAGCTCTTCGTGTATACGTTTGCAGCTGACTGGAAAAATGTTTGACGATTTATACGGATCAGTGTGACTCTAAAATAAATTCACTAATAAGATTATACATACTGTGTAGCAGCATGCATCAAAATCTGGAATGGGAAATTTTCAGTTTCATTCATAAATGGACTGAAATGTTATCTTCTATTTTAAACACTTCCTATCACTATGATGTTTATCAAATTCGTTATAATTATATATTTTACCAATAGTAGTATTTTTGTGAACTTTTCTCGTTCATGCTTTATTGATATTTTTGTTTGTGTATATATTTGTTATCTTCTTTGGACTCATGAGCTTCATTTATACTTATTTTAAAATCTTTTCTCTACACCAGATAGAAGAAATGCTACGTAAGGAGGAGAGCAATGATATTGCTTTTAGAACTGGTTATACCAATATTTTATCTCGTGAACCATCAGAGAAACTGAATTCATGTTTTCGTGAAAAAGTCGACAAAATACGATTATCTGTTCAACTGGTACGTCTATATATATTGTCCACTCTCTCGATTCTTGTTTAACTTTGTCGTGGACATGCTTTTAGAAATAACACTCATTATCCCAATCTCCAGGAGTTGAACTTTTACCTGGAGGCTCACTTGTTGACTTAGAATACGCCGACGACATAGTTTTATTTGGTGAAGACGCTGACAAAATGCAGTCTTCTGATCACTCTAAGCAACTATGCAGGCATGTTCGGGGTGCGATTCTCTCCCTCGAAGTGCAAAATGTTTCTTCAGGATTGGGTTGCATCGGCACCTGAACTAATGATAGGGAGTGAAGTAGTTGAGCGTGTTGACTACTTTACTTATCTTGAGAGTCTCATCAGTCCTTGTGGTCTGGTGTGTGACGAAATCTCAGCACGGATACAGAAGGCTCGTCTAGCTTTCACCAACTTGCGTCATTTATGGAGTAGGCAAGATATCCGTCTACCAACCAAAGGACGGATTTACTGTGCAGCAGTTCTGTCTGTCCTACTTTATGGCAGCGAAACATGGCCGATAAGAATAGAGGACATTCGTAGGCTATTAGTATTCGATCATAGGTGTCTTCGAAGCATTGCTCGTATATCCTGGGACCGCCGGGTAAGTAATGTAGTTGTTAGGAGACGGGTACTAGGTAATGATGGCAAATATATTGATGAAGTAGTGAAACTTCATCAGTTAAGATGGCTGGAGCACGTGTTACATATGCCCAACCACCGACTGCCCCGACATGCAATGTTTCATGGTATAGGAGTAGGTTGGAAGAAATCTAGGGGCGGCCAGATCAAAATACGGCACAAATCCATGAAGTCACTGACAAGTGGACTAAGCCATGTTGATAGGTGTAAACTACCTGGTTGGGATTCGCGAGATGGTAGCAACCGATGGTTAGAGACCTTAAATGACATGGCTCAAAATCGTTTGCAATGGCGAAGGTGCATCCACTCTTTGTGTTCTCCCAAAGTCTAATCTGAATTATTCATAGCCCTTTCTATTTTCTCTTTTCAAATTTATTTCACCGTATTATACTCCTTCAATAATATCTTCAAACCCTAATCTTTCGGATTACTGCTCATACTCTTACTACTTTTACCACTATGGGATTTGAATCGAAAAATGCATCTTTGTGCTAATGTGATGTGGCAACTCGAACTGATTTACATACGTACGAAGTTCTACGTTGTGACTTATATATATATAGATAGATAGATAGATATATGCTGATTATCTCTTTTCATCTAACAAAACAACAGTATTCTCAAAAGGTATTTTCCAATAAATTGGAAAGAAATCCTGGAAATCAATTTTAATAACTTTATAATTACAGGGTAACTAGAATTTGAAAATGCCTATCATTCTCTTGCTGAATAATATCTGCCACCGTTTCACTGATATATATACAACATAATCTGATAGCATGATTTTTCCAATTCTTATTTCATTTTGATTGGTATCTATTTGTATTTGAAAACATAGTTGACTGACTTGTTTTTGTCTGAATGAATATGTTTTGTTTATAGGATTTCTAAGTTTATCAAATCATCTATGGTTAATGTACAGTGTTTTGCATTTAATTCTTTAGATAAATTATTTATATATCTCATCTAGTTGTGTTATAACTCTTTATGTCGTATTTCTGTTGTAAATTACCCCTCATTATTGTTTATTATTCTTATATTTTCTTTGTTTATAGGTTTCTGAAAAAGATTACGATGTGATAGCATTATTTAAACAACATGAAGTGAACTTTCAATCATTGGACATGTCTAACAATGAACTTTTAGTATATATTCAATCAAATTTTGAACCTAAAGAAATTGAAGTAATAGAAGAAATTGAAAATTTACGTAAAGATTTAATTCGTATATGGGATGAACTTATTATGAATAAGCATCAACGTGATGATGTAATAAAAATGTGGGATTTAGTTTGTTTACCGCCAAATTTTGGTAAATTATCAATTGTTTTATTTTAATTTAATTATTGTGAACGTTTACATTTATATGGTTCACTATAAAAATGAAAGAACTGCTTATTTACTTAACGTGTAAACGATTCAGTGATGATATCTAAATTGGTAATCGTTTACTCACTTGAAAGAGCGCATTTTGAGTGAATTTTAGCAACTCGTTAGGTTGAAGATTCAACTCAATCCAAGATAAATCTTGTCATTAGTTTTGCAAGTGATTGTTGAAAAGGTGTTAAAAATAAAAACCTGTGGTTAAATTAACGTTCATTATGAAGTATTTCCAATCGATTACAAAAACAGTAACCCTTCACTATTAGTTAACTAATTCAGCATTTTATGTAATTTTCAATATGAAAACCTTTAATTTACAGATAGTGAACTTTGATTGTGTATAAAGATTTTCTGCATGCTATTGAAGAACGACGGTTATTTTTTTAATATTTTACACCGTAGCGGCCTATGCTCCATTGGGGGTAATAGGCCTAAGTAAGTATGTTTAGAAGGTGCCTCGTTTGAAGATCATCTTTACCAGAGGTTGATACTAGCTAATCCTTGTAAGTGATCCTAGTGAAGAGATAAAATTAATTCGTGCCTATCAGTCATAACAGGGTGGAAAATAGTATACGAAGAGTAAAAAGCTCCAAACTTAGTCAGTGATAAAGATCTGAGTGATGTGTTTTAGACGTTTAAAGTTCGTATCTCACACCAATTTGCTGCTTACTTTTAATTAAATGAATTCCTCCCTTAGTTTCAGCGTATGGAATATCTTTGTTCGTATTTGAAGAAAAACTGAAACCTATTGATAAAAGCGTTATAATATCATTTTTAACTGTGGAGTTATTATTATAAGTGGATGTTCGACGGAAAATGTTTGGAGAAACAAATTTTCGGATTTCCAGACAGTTTGAAAAATTTACTAGTCTTAACTGGTTCTCATACTCACCGCTAACGATTCGATAGATCTATGTGTTCCCCATTATATAATTATTTATATCAATAGCAGATAGGTACTTCAATGTTAATTTGTCTTTTCAACTACTCAAGACTGGAGATATAGGATATTTTGAGGCACCACAGGTCTGGACGTTTGTTGTTAATTAGTCATTCAGTCAAATTAGTTCTTATCTATCTCAATAGAATTTGAAATTATTCTTTTTCACAATATTTCTAATTAGTTCATACTTTAACAAAATGGTATCGTACCCAAGGTGAAATAAATCATAATGAAGTGACATCTAAGACATTTCGTGATAAAGTTGACGCTGCACGAATATGTGTCAATCAAAATTTGGATGAACAACGAAATTTATTATCTCAACTACGAATTAAATGTGAACCATATTTTAATCAAATTATCAAATATCGACAGCATAGTGTGATAGCGAATTTACAAGAAGCTTGTAAATTATTTTTAAGTATACGTAAAGATGTTGAGAAAAGTTTACATTGGCATTCGGAGTTCGAAAAAATTTGCAATGAAGAACTACAGTTGGTAAGTTCTTTTTATCATGTTTGATAATTATATTATTTATACATAACAGCAACAACAGTAGTTATCTTGCATTAGATATTGGCAATGACCGAACTATCGATTAACATAATTCTGTGTGTGGAGTTAACCTGTGACTGTTATGCAAACCATTCGATCTGTAATGAAGAGTAATAAAAATCTTTACTGATGAAACAATTCTTTATGTATGTTGATATAATGAAACGATGTGGTGGAAATGGAGTTTTAAAAAAAATACTGAAATCTGTTAGTGAATATGACTCATCAACGTATGAGGTTGCTTACCGTTATCATTAAAACATTATTGAAACCTACAATATGGTTACTTGACTCTTTGTCGGAAATAAAACAAAATTGGAAGTTTCCTGTTCGAAATCAATCAGACAAGTGAAATTTATGATATGAAACTTTAAGTAATAATGCTTTAAAGTTCTTTACAATGTTATGGAACCCTAATGTAAAAATTAGAACACATTAGCGAACATTAATGTTTTCAGTTAAATCATGATCAAACTGTTGGCGGGATACAGATTGGATTAAAGCATGTTTCGTGCAGGATTATGTCGGGGCACGCTGATTTACTATTGCCTAACCAATCAGTTCTAGTAGATACTTGGAAAAGACTCTAGAATCGTAAATGCTATAAATATACTAACTTTTTTCTTATTGTGCTTCCCACTTGCATCCAACCTTGTTGTTTGGAATATAATTGCGTTCCTGTTCAACCGCCTTCTGATTTGGTGACTTATTGAGTGAAGTTGTGTCCAAGACTACTAAGCAATAAGAGTAACTGGGTAGTTAAAAGCGAAATCGCAACAGACTTTTATCTAATATGCAGGAATATTTAAATGCATACATGAAAATATTAAACCAGTTAAGTCAGTTTGTGAGTCAATGCTCATAATGCAGTAGATGGCACAACAAATAACAGGTAAAAAGTACAAATCGATACATAAGAAGATAGGTGTACTAGTTTTGATGAGAAAATGAGATAACCAAAGTTTTAATCAGTATTTCAGTACAATAAGTAAGTCAAACTCGAGTAAATATTAAGATATTATTAGTATAGGGATTTTGTGGAGATTGTAGTAATTTTCATAGTTTAAATCACGAACTGATGTTAGCTAGTCCACCATTGAGAACCCTGAAGTACTGGACCACCGTTTCGTCCTAGTATGGGACTTTTTGCAAGTGCGCATCCACAACACTGATTATGGAAATCAAACCAAAGGACTTCAGTCTTGCTCGCTGACGCTTGACCTTTAGACCACTGAACCGGCATGATTTCAATAAAATTCAACCCCATACTGAACATTACGCTAGTGTTGATAATTCTTGTTTCATCGAAAAATTTCAAGTCCTTCGGTTCATTGATTTGTATATCACAGTTATGTACATTTTGAATGAAAGTCCTCTCATATTTAAATGATTAGAGTTGTTTGTACATTTATTACAGTTGATTTCACATATCACAAGTTAATAAGTATGACAAACAGCTAACAAATTAGTTAGACCGAAATCCAATATCTCATCAAGATCTTGATTTCGTGTCAAGTCTTGAGGTACAATGATAACTACAGCGATTTTTTTGATGTAATATAAATTAATGATCAATTGGTCATAATGCAAACCTAAAACTAAGATATAAGCTCATCAAATTGACAGTTTCTTTCATTCTTTAACTTTCTTGGAAAGTCAAACAGTTTTTTAGTTTGGTTATTATAAGTACTTTATTATGTTAAGTATGCTACTAGAAAGTACCTATGGGTGTTTCATTAGACCTTATCCAGATTCATCCCTATCTAAATAAAACAAAGAACGATATTTACTCATCATTATTTAACCATCTCTTTTCATGAAGTTTCTGTTAATAATTATTCTGCTGTGTTTCTTCAATGGTATGGGAATATCGCAAGTATTGTGTTATGTATGTTTTTTAGAGTGTAGACTGTAAATACACAATTATTTAATATGCATAATTCTCAATTTTCTTTAAAATGTCCAAGTCACATTTTGTTTCTTTGATTCAATGATGTCATTATCAGTAGAGATTAACGATTAACAAACGAGTAGGTAATCCATTATATCTACGTATATATTTTAATGTATCAAGATACTGAACAAGAGATGATTACATTTTACGCCTGTGTACATTTTAGGTGAATGATTTCTGTTTGGCTCGTAGTGACGAAATTAATCAACTTATATCAGAAAATGAACAATGGGTATCTGTAACCCATGATTCAGTATCAAAAGATTGTGAGTTAATTTCACTGACTTTAGAAAAAGCTTTTTATGTGCTTTGACAGTACTCTGCTTTTAAACACAGAAAGATAGAGTTATTCGTTGCTACTTATAATTCTATAGATCTGTGAAAAGACTAGTTTGAATCCCATTCAAAATATAATCTAAACGTACAAAAGTCATTCGTTCTCAATATGATGTATCTAAGCGGATGGGAAAATGTACAACATAGGACCATCTATATTTACGTTGCCCCAATCGCTCTATTATGATTAATATCGTATCATAATATTCACCATATCTCATGATTAATTGCTAATTTTCACACAATCCCACCTAACGGATGATTTTTACAGAGATTGATTTCGACTTGTGTTTTCCAGTATAATCTTACTATAACCGAAATTGTATTTTACTGTACAGTCAGTTAGTACACTTAGTGTGCTATATATAGATCAGATGACGTATGGTGATTTAATCGGTATACCTCCCTCAGCTAAAAATCGGCAACCAAGCACTGAGTTGGTGGTTTCATCACTCGTGGGAAATTCAGTAAATCAGTATGATTATTCTTCTTGAAAGTAAATTCCAACCTCGTTTCTTTAGTGATGTACGAACCGGTTTTTCCTCATCTTTATGTATTTACTACCAATCAAAAGTGTATATACTTGGACATCACTTCTCCGTATATTTCAACGTAAATTGAGACATCATTCTACTTGATTTACAGAATACTTATATTTATTTAAGTTTTTGTTATATCGATTGCTTGAGTACCCTGTTAATATATATGAAGTTATAAGATCGCCAATTGGAGATCAGTGAATTTATCGATCGCTCAATGATACACAAAATCATATTAGCAGTCTTGAGTACTTATCAGTCCTGCTATCTGCCTAGCCCAGCCAGTTAAGTCCAGAACACCGATAACAGCCTCTGCAATATGAATCATTATTCTCAAACATACTGGGTTTATATACCAATCAAAAAGACCATAAAATAGAAAGTAACATTTGTACAGGATTTGGCCAAATGTGGCTGTGAATAGGGGGAACAGTAATCAATAGACTGGAGATAACTGAAGAATGGTAAATCGTATAATAATAGTCCACAGGTCAAAATAAAGCTTATAATAAGAAGGCCACGAATATGGATACTTTAGTTACTCAACAATTATATAGTAGGAAATATACATATCATATTGGTCCATAAATAGTTCTCAAAGTTACCATTCATAAGTTTCCACGGGATATAACAGTTTTTCAGTAAAACTGAGTGTATTGATAAATCTCTAAAAATTCATTTCCTAGATGAAAAGAATATACTTTCTAAGAACAGTAGGTACATCTCCCTCTGCTTACCTCGATATAACTATCACGATATTTAATTAGTTTTTCTTTATGTTACAGGAATTTATTCATCACCGTTATCATCATCATCATACCAAACTAGCATTACACAAAATTATTTTCTGTTTTAACCTTTTCATTTGATTAACATTGAATATTGCTCGGTTTTTTGTTTACATTTGATTCATTCGTTTCATAACTTTTCAAAATACATAAATTCCCTATCCCTTATTAGGGAACAATACACGGTGACGTCTATCATCAGCATTAACACAAGACTTTTTTTTTGATAACATCATCCATGAATGAATATTAACTGCGTCATCATCAGCCATCATTGTCCAAAGAGACTTAAGCGGTCAGTTTGTCTTATATTGTTATTTCATTTACGATTATATATACATTAATTCATCCCACCAGTGATCAATAATTTTTTTTATTATATAATTTAAACTAAGTCATTATTTGTCATATATATTTGCCAACATTATGAAACAGATTTTTTTTCCTTTCTAGTTTAAACTAATTTTGATCGAAATGGCTAACTTATATTTTCACTTTTTTTCTAAGTTTGAGTACATTGTTTTGTGCATTGACTAATAAATTTATATTTATACAGTTTCTCATTTATTCAAATCAAACACTCTATATTGAATAGATAATTCTATTAATGGACCAAATTAACAAAAGACTGGTTGGGTTGCATATATGTATTAATTTCGAAGTAGTATCGAAACAAATGTATTGTCATAATCAGAAAACAATATGTTAAGGAATATAGTATTGTCATATCATAATCGTTTTACGATACTATATTGATCTGAAAGGTAGGTGCCCTTGTATTCAAAGCACTACCTCGAATTCAGAAGAAAGTGATTAGTGAGTTCTTGAATGTTTTGGTTTGGTTATAAATACATAATCGGTCATTTAAATAAACTAATTGTAACTGACTATCAGAACATCTTTACCAAACCCCTCTGAGCTAGAATTTTGTATGAGAGTTTGTGATATTACCCGGATGTTCTAAGTCGAAGTGCAGAATGGTTTTAACTTGCGACCCATCGATTAAAAGTCCAGTGCCTAAAACACTTAGACATCGTTCAACATCAGCCATTTATTTAAACATCTATTGATGCAGGTCTATCTACTGCAGAAAAAGGTTCTTTACTTAAAATCACTGAAATCATTAGATGCAAATCTACTGAATTATTTTGTATAAAAATGTATTTTTGAAAAGTTTATAACTATTCTAAATGCTCTATCGTACTAAGCACGTAGTAGTTTACATCTAATAACCTTAACAATTCTGAAATTTACATGCAAAATATTGAGCTTTTACTGAAATATCACGTAAATGTTGGGTAACTGTGCAATTTACTGTGGATCAATCAAGTAATCTACAAATCGACAGTACAAATTTTACGCTGTTAATAACAAAAATTTAACTAAATAGCCTTTGTGATAAAATCAAAATGTTTTTGGTTGAAAGTGGTACGCTGAAAACCAGGGTTTATAAATATATATTCCGAAGTACAAATGAACAAAATAATCAGTTAACAGTTATTGAAATAAGGTCTTATCACTGAAAACTCATTTTTTGATATTAAGGTTTCCAGTTGTGTATTTTAAACATAAAAGTAGTATAAAAAATAATCCATTTATGTGGGAAATAAATTATGTTATTCGCAAAGTATTTGAGTCTATTCAAACAACGTGAATTATTCTATTAAAAATATTAAAATTTTATTTCATTTATTTGTCAAAAAAGTTTTGTGATACTTAAATAATAATTTGATAGTTTTCAGTAAAAAAACTAGATGAGAACAGGATTTTGATGGGAGTATTTAGATAAACCTTAGAGGTGTAGGCATAGACTACTTAGCTTGTTTATTTATACCAACTTCTGAATGTATCTTAACAGCTAATTTACATCTGCTTTTTGAACACTAATGAAATTATTAACTGCTTTAATATATGTATATATTTATATATACCTGGTGATAAAAATGCGAAACTTAGACCCATAGCAATAACCTCACCTTTTCTCAAAATAATGGAAAAATTACTGATACAACCACTTCAACCTGCAATAAAAGAGCACTGTGATCCATTTCAGTTTGCTTACAAATGCAAAAGAAGCACATTAGATGCCGTTGCTGTTCTGCATCACAATATAGTGTTCGGGTTGGAAAAGGGTAAGAAGTAAGTTAGATGCGCTTTCCTGGACTTTACTTCTGCTTTTGATTCTATTACAAGACACCTCTTACTTAACAAGCTGATTAGCATCGACACTGACAGCTGGATAACCAATTGGCTACGTTCCTACCTTTCTGGAAGAGAACAGTACACTGTGTTTGAAGGAAAGTGTTCAACATCTCTACTGTCTATTGTAGGTGTGCCACAAGGAGCTGTTCTTTCACCTCTGCTCTTCTCTTTCTTTTTGCATGATCTGCCATCTTCCACAGAAAACTCTTTTGTAAAATATGCGGACGACCTCACTGTATGTATGCCAATTTCTACCTCCTTACATCCTATAGAAATGAATGAGTTTTTATCTCGTATTGAAAGGTGGTCTGTTGGTAATGGTCTCTTACTAAATCCATCTAAATGTCAAGCTGTTAATTTTAGCTTGAGACATGGACAGAACGCATACTCTATGTTGGGATCCCATCATGCTTGTGCCATTGGAGACTCCTTAATAAACACAGTGTCGAGGGTCAAATATCTTGGTGTTACTTTTTCCTCTGATCTTTCTTGGTCTTCTCATGTTTTACTGTTATCGAAAAAAGTTTACCGTTTGACATACTACATAAAGAGGCTGCATGCTTTTGGGATTACTCGCCATTTACTCTTACAATTTGTAAATTCCTGCATATTAACTATTATTTTATATTGTTCTCCATTATTCTTTCCTGGGCTTTTGAGAAAAGACTTTGCTATTTTGCGTAGAGTTCTGAAGGCAGTTTGCAAGGTATGTGGTGAATCTTTTGAAGTCATTGTTAATATGCTTGTGGATAGACATCTTAAGTCTTGCAAACTCTTGGCAGGTATTATCTTATCAGATACTAACCATCCGCTTCATTCATATCTTTCTCCTTGTATATCTTCTGGTAGAACGAGACGTAAATACATTAAAATCCATGCACGCAAGCAAATCTATAAAAGTTCTGTAATACCTTACCTTGCAAATTTACTTTGTGACGAACAGGCTGTTAGAGTTGACCTAGTAAATAACCTGTATTCTTAAGCATGTCTCAAATTCGATAATTTGTATAAAATCAGATTTTCCTAAACCTTTTTTATTTCTGTTCTGTTTTTTTTTTGGTAAAAAACTTGTTGAAATAACTCGTGCTGAGAATTCTATATTGTATCAGATTATAATATTGAATAAAGCCATTAATAATAATAATAATATTAGCAAAGACGGTAACTATGTACAGTGTAATATGATCACAATTATCAATGTACACGAATTACGTTCATAAGTATTAGTTAGCAGATGTCAATATAGTTCACAGTCTATAAATTTTATCGAAAACTCCGCCCTCGTCGACCACCTCGTTGACGGGTTCCAGAATGATGGCGTGAACCACGTAAATTGACAGTAGGGTTATTCGGTGTTTCCTTTTTTCTTACAATGGTGAATAATGAACATAATGATTCTGTACAGAATGCACATCCAGAGAATGTAGTGTTAATCTTTTCAGAATTATTTTCGCTTGAATTAGGAACTTTACCCTGGAAACAAAATAGGAGCATTTTAAACGATGACAATCATATTATCAGTTCAGTTTATTACATTGTGAAGTTTAATAGCTATACAACAATTTATGCAGGTTCAGCATACTTGGACGCGGTTAAATAGCAGCGATATTTTTTCTTATTTAGTGATATCACACAAAGAAGTTTTTTACTCAGCTTAGTCAAATTTCAGTTGACTGAAATACACACTTTTATTTCAACTATCATTCAGACATTAACAGTAATTGTGAGATTTTCACTACAGGCAAAAGGAGGGTAGTCGGTGCCAAAGTTATATATATATATATATATATATATATATATATATATATATGCCATAGTAGCAACTAGAGCGGATATGTATTTTAAATTTTAACAGAACCGCCTATGATTATTTAGAGAATTTTCGTCTAGTTGCTCTTTCTCGAATAGTATAAAATACACTAAATAATAATAAATTACGAATCACAAGTTAAATGCACTACGGAAACCTGAAAATTTATAACTACAATAATACCATGGACGAATAGCCATCATACGAAAAGTCTTCATTTAAGAATATCTTTGTATTAATTATTATTAGCAGAACTAGTGCAACTTCACAGATGAGTAAGCCTAACAGCTATGATCAACAACTACGATTAAACTTGTGACGATTTTTGCAAGTTGTTCCATATTTTTAAAATATTTTTACGGAAAATATATCGTACATTTTATTTGTTATCGAAGCCAATTATTAGAATAATTGAACTCAATAAACACTGCTGATGAATTATTGTACTTTTTCAAACATAATACACCAAAGGCATAGATAGACTAGTCGACAACTTCAATCGGGGAAGATTTAAAATTATCGAGTTTAGTTTATGTTAAACTGGTGAGTATAAAATAAGATTCTTTTTTAAAAAACATACAATTTGTACATACCGGATCAAATCTCAAGTTAAGATGCATAGCTGTACATACTGAACAACTAACATTTTTGACAGACATACTTTTTACAGAGTCAGAAATAGATAGAAATGTTGGACATCTATAGAAAAACAAAAAGAGAAAGCACACAATATGTTAGAATAATAACAAAGTTTTTAGTGGAAAATTGAAAAAAAAGCAGTCATCAAAAAACACTGAAATCGGTCTTTAAGCTTACGTACACAATAAGTAAAAGGAACTACTGTAAAAACCACATAAGTGTGCTTAAAGACGCACCGATAGAGCACAATCAAAAATGACAGTTAAAAGAAATATCTATAACCTCAGTTTTTAGAAACGAAAACTTGAATTCATGAAGGAACACAAATATCTGTAACCGATAACCACAGAAGTCATGTTCATGGTTTTAGTTGAATGATTTCAAATACTTTGAATAATACATTGGAATGCTGTGTACTATTACTAAGCTTATTTACTACTTTTATTGGTTTATGAATAGACTACAATTAACAAAAATGACTAAGACAAAACACTGATCAGTAATCAATTTATAAAAACAGTAGCTGCACTGTTAAACACAAATTGAAAAACATGCAAAGTCCATCAACATATAACCACATTTCTTCACTGAATTGGCTCAGTCAGTTGTGAAGAAATATGACTTCCAGAAAAATATACAATCAAATATTGTAGCGAGTTTAGTGAAACTTCATCACGTAGTGAATGATTTGAAACTACGAATAATATAATAATCATAAAGATAAATCCCAACTTCATAAGAATGAATTTTGTATCGTTTAGGTGAAATGATTTTTTTTCCAAAAAAGAATTACATAATAATAATCAACTAACCTATTACAATTTAAACGATATTTTGGTGCATTAGAATCATCTAAAACTAGTATACCATATGGACAATCAGGACATGCATCAACTTCTAGTGATTCCATTGATTGTGGACATGTTGGATGAGGGCATCTATTACAACCGGATAATTTTGGCATTGATTCAAATGGTGGATGGGAAAAACAATACGGACAAAAAACCATATTCTACGTAAATAAATAAAAGAAATACATTAATTTTTTAGAGTGGATTTTACATAAATCATTTCCTTGTTATTCCCTCTTTGTCTGGTTATTATCTCCTTTGTTTTACAAAGATTAAGTGTATTAACAATGGAATGGAATATAAACTGAACTGTTGGCATAAGAATTTATATGGATAAAATTAGGAAGTATAAATATTATGGTTATTTGTAATAACTAAATGGGAGTAACAATTTCGATATGTGAATCCCTAATTTATGTATGGATACACACAGGTGGATCTCAATGATTAAAAAGTCGCCTATATTTATATTATATATGTAAGATATATCAGGAACTACAGCAAAGATTATTAATACCGTTCTCAATAGGTGTAGTGCATAAACAACGGAAATGAATCTTATTCAAACTAAAATATGAAATAGCAAAAGAAAATCCAAACACCTAAAAAATACACTTCTCCAATTCCAAGAAACAATATATTGAACAAAGTGGGCACTCTCTTCATATACAATCTCTTCTATACGTGCATGAACATCAACGAGCTGTTAATGCACGTAGACAATTATGGATACACGTTCAACTGTTAAAATGTTGAAATCCTGGACATAACGAATATTGAGATCGGAGAATCTTTAGAAGCTTGGCAGTCAGTTCAATCAGCAATCAATCAAGAACAAAAAATCGATTCAATTTGTCAACCAATCATAAAAATTATGAGCAACTTGGGATGAAAATCGAAATACATATAAATAAAAGGATCAACAATAACCAGTCAAGATCAATGTTGTCAACAACTTATTAGTTACGTATCTAAAAATTCGAATAGTTTATTTCTGTCTGCAGTTTGTACTGGTGTTATTCGAAAAGTAAATGAAAGCTTCGAAACTAAACTATCTGGGCCGAAAAACTTCATCATTGTGAGAATGGTGCCGCGTTCTCCGACGAATATGGTATAATCGCGAAACTTTTATTGTTTTAATGGATGTCATCACGACCTACTTCAAACAAACTTCTCAAAGAAGACGACATAACCAAAACTATCCATTCGAGTCACAAAGCTTCATCTTCTCAGAATCTGAACACTAATTATAGTGTACGAATTATCCAAATCAAACGAGTACCTTATATTTCTTGCACAGCGATTAAGAAAACAACAGGTTACCATAATAAGGTTAGACATGAAGTAAATTTCTAAACTCCTAAAAGCCCTTACATAAAGTGTTGACAAAATTAAGAATTTCACCTCACGCAACTAATTTCCATCAATATGGGATAAAAAATTTCTATCAACAGACTAAACTATGTTCATAGATCGATGACCCACAATATCAATATGACGTAATCATTGGTATATGTATAATATAAAAGATGTATACAATGTACATAATGAGCATTTATACATTTTGTTAAATTCAGTAAATTCTTGTAAAATAACATTAGTTTAGTGATCCCCCAAAAATTCTTATAGTAAAGGATTAAATTTCTACGGCATATTCAAATGCGCAACACTGAAAACTTAAGGGTCATGGTGTCCCAAAATAAGTATTTAGTTCTCCATAATGTAAATCCTCTTCAAGTATAGGGCCCCGCTACTTCCATTGTTGGGAAGGAGTAGCACTGCACATATTCCTTCTTTAGCTGACCTGTATAGAACGATGACACTCAGAGAAACGAATGTTTCAGCCAGTAGGGCTTGGCTGGGTCATCATGACAAGTAATTGATATCACCATGTCACGATATTTTAAACTATTATAAAATATCAGAAGGGGTTTTGTGGAGATTTAGTAATTTTTCATAGTTGAAAGCGTGAGTCAATTGAAGCTAGACCACCATGGAGACAATTGGTGAATGGTTGCTCAACTTCGTGGATCAGTTGAAGTTAGACATTAATACCGTTGGATGCCAGCTCAGTGGTCTATCGGTTAAGGGCTTCGGCTCGAGACTGGTAGGTCCTGGGTTCGAAACTCGCGAGAGCGGGTTCGTGGATGCGCACTGCTGAGGAGTCCCATAATAGGACGAAACGGCCGTCCGGTGTTTCCAGGTTATAAAATAACCGGAATTATAACATCATAGAGTAAAAAGTCAAAAAGGAACTTACTCTTCCTTTACCACCTTGAGTATAGCATAATAGTTCAAATTTATCTAAAGGACACTTTTCGGTTTTATACGGTCGGATTGTACCATTCTGTGGTAATGTATATGTTTCATTACAGATTGAACAATGAAGACGTTGTGGTCGAGAATCTATAAACTTTAAGTATCGGTGACATTTACCACATCTAAATTATAAAAAATGAGTAGTAACAACACAAAATAAAAATTAAATTGTTCAACAGTTGGATAAATGAAAAGAATACACTATCTCGAGCTATCTGAAATAAGAAAACTCCCAAATTTCAATTCTCATCGATTAAATTCACGATAGTTATAGACGTTTGTAAGGGGATTCATATAACTGTCTAGTTAGTAACTGACTACCTGAAGTTAAATTGATTTAGCGAACAAGAAATATTAGGCGGATAACATCACAAAAGTTTAATACGGCTTTTCTTCGGGATACTGACAAACTCAACAAATTCAAGATAGCCCTCAGCAACAGGTTCCAGGCCTTTGATGATCTACTCACTGGAGAGGGAATTACTATGGAGAGCAACTGGAAGGGGATAAAAGAAGCAATCACTTCAACATGTCAGGAGGTTTTGGGTAACAAAAATCACCATCACATCTTATGGGGTCCAAAACCCGTTGCCTGGTTGGTTTGATTCCTTCCTCAGCAATCGACATCAAAAAGTTAAAATCAACTCCTCATTGTCGAAAGCCATCCCTGTTAGAAGTGGGGTAATACAGGGTAGTGTCTTAGGCCCTTTGGTCTTTTTAGTTTTTATTATTGATATTTTTGTGTGGGAAAGTCACTTTTGCAAACTACCAAATCGTCCATGTAGGACAACTCACCGACTCATTCGAGGTAAAGACCGATGTTAGGCAAGGTTGCTTACTCTCACCCTTTCTCTTTCTCCTAGTGACCGACTGGATCATGAAGACGTCAACATCTGGAAGGAAGCACGGGATACAGTGGACACATGGGATGTAGCTGGACGATTTAGACTTCGCAGATGATCTAGCTCTTCTATCACATAGGCAACAACAAATGCAGGAGAAAACGACCAGAGTAGCAGCAACCTTAGCAGCAGTAGGTCTCAATATAAACAAAGGGAAAAGCAAGACTCTCCGATACAATACAGCATGCACCAATCGAATTACACTTAAAGCAGAAGCTTTGGTGGATGTGAAAACCTTTACATATCTGGGCAGCATCATTGATGAACATGGTGGATCAGATGCAGATGTGAATGTGCGGATCGGCGAATCAAGAGCAGCATATTTACAACTGAAGAACATCTGGAACTCAAAACAATTATCAACCAACACCAAGATCAGAATTTTCAATACAAATGTTAAGACAGTTCTACTGTATGGGGCGGAGACGTGAAGAACTACGAAACCATCATCCAGAAGATACAAGTGTTTATTAATAGTTGTCTACACAACATACTTCGGATCCGTTGGCCAGACACCATCAACAACAACCTACTGTGAGAGAGAACAAACCAGATTTCAGCGGAGTAAGAAATCAGGAGGAAGCACTGGAAGTGAATAGGACACACATTGAGGAAATCACCCAACTGCGTCACAAGGCAAGCCCTCACATGGAATCCTGAAGGCCAAAGGGGGAGAGGAAGACCGAAGAACACATTACACCGAGAAATGGAGACAGACATGAGAAGAATGAACAAAAACTGGATAGAACTAGAAAAAAAAGCCCAGGACAGAGTGGGTTGGAGAATGCTGTTCGGCGGCATATGCTCCATTGGGAGTAACAGGCGTAAGTAATACCATACATTGGTAAGAACTAACTTTGATAAGAAATCTATATTCAGTTTAATTTCCAACAATCGCGTATACATATGCATATTAAAATATAAGATTCACCAATTATGTTACAAGTAATGATTCCAGTTATTCGGCTCAAGTTCGACAAGTGCAATTGGACTGGAGGTGAAATATAGAAGTTAATTAGCCACACTTTCAGATACTTATGTATATAGTTAACCGAATTTAAACAAAACTGTACATATTTAGCATACAATGTCCTTAGTGAACCGTAGCTGATTTTTCCTGTTGTCAATTTCATAGTTTAAATTAAACTATGTAACTACGTCTTAATAAAGGATCACATATCAACTTAAAAATCCTTCTGATTTCCATAAAATGAATTGCAAATGTCTGGATTTAATAGTTACTGGAACTAGCTAAAAGTTACAGTGTGTTTGTTTAACACGAATCCAGCTATACACTTGCAAATAACAACCCTACTTATGTATAAAAAGTCAGAAACGAAAATAAGCAAAAACATGGCTATTGAATATCTATGCTATTCTAGTGGCACTCGCGTATAATATCTTTAATCCTTAAACCCTAGGATCATAATAACGACTAGTGATTATAGTGATTTTTCTTCATGCATCTTGATGTATCATAAATAAGTATTATCATACAGTTTTTGTCTCGATCAAGTTTTTTCATCTGTTAGTGTTTTAGGAAGGTTCATCTCGCAAGTAAAAGCAAAATTACTGAATAGAAAAATTAAGCTAATTGTTCTCCATTTACCTGGATAAAGGTTTACCTGAACTAGCTAGAGTAGTGAATGAAACTTCAAACAGTTGATCCATACCATTAATATGTTCAACAAAATAACGATATTTGGCGGCAAAAATAGCTAAAACAAATTGTAATACTAAATCATATTTAGCATGACCACGAGCAATATGATTTAATTGTTCTTCTACAGCTCTACGCATATGTGGTAAGACAAGTTCGGCATCGATTGTTTGATAACCATGAACAAGTACAATCCCTAAGGGTGTAGGTTGTAGTTTACGCCCCGAAAGAAGCTGTTTGTTTAAGAAAGAACAGACATAAACACATAGATAGGAATAGAATGTATGGGAAAACAATAATTTTGAGAGTAAAAAGTTATACCTTAGAAAAAATAAAAGATGATTAAAAATTCTCAAAAAATGACGAAAAATAATTTATATATTGACTTCTTGTAACTAAGCAGGTAACACATTCCAAGTCAATGAAGATCATAGAGTGAAAAGTATAAAACATTTAAACTAAAACGATTGTTAGTGTATTTAATGTTCAAAAGTAGGCTACAGTAAAATTAAGAAGTGCTTTTATGCGGTTAATATTTGAGAAAGTAAACCAATAAACATGGAGAAAAGCATATTTTTCATGAGAGTAAAAGGTCTTTTGTAAAAATCAGATAGCTTAGCACTGAACACTTGTTTTAAAGTGAATAAACTCGCAATTATGAAGTGGATTGAAAAGATAACTTGAAATCATAGTCTCTGCTATTTCATGACAATTTCGTATTTTTCAGTCAACAGAGTTTCTATATTATTAGACACTAAAGCATAGTTTTTCGTTACTCTCATATCAGAACGAAATGCAAAATCGGAAAATTTACACTCATTATTATTTAAAAAGATTTAGTCACTAACTGGTTGTATTTTATTTGTTAACATTGAGCGTTTAATTAATAAACAGAAAATTAGGTTAAAGATTTATTCTAGATTTCCTTTTCATTTGTTTAAGTAAATAAATAAACATATAATTTGCTTATAATTATGTAAATAATTAGGCACATTTTTACTTGAGTAAATTTTCACATCAAAACAGTACAAACCGACATGGATAATTTTCATGGATTAACGTAAGTGCTGATTTATAAACGAATTAAGTGATTTAAGTTTCTCCTATAAAAGCTTGAAGTTAATTCTAGTATTCGGCTACATATATACATGATATATGTAGAGAATATAGGGTCAGACCCCAGTAGTTTTCAGCTAAATAAGCTAAGACAATTTCATGTTGAACAATATAAAGTACTATATAGTGATGAACAATTGCAATCTATATGCTGGTGTGACAATTTGAACAGCGATACATTCGTGCCAGCTTCTATATATACAACGAACAATAACTCAGGTGGAAACAACCAATTTATTGTTTAATACCAAACTACAGAATCTCTTGGTAAAATATAAGAACCATACAATGAATACTTCATTTGCAAAATTTCATCATTTGTCCTTCACATACTATATGATTCTTCCAAGTCACAATTCTTTTTTATTTGCGTTTCTCTTTTCTTCAAGTCGACTTTCATAGCCCTCTGTTCTCAGGTTTTCCACTACCGATTGGTGTTACACACTAATGTCTGTCGACACAAGTAGCATACACTACATACAGACTATGACTGACTGAATGGTAGTCCATCGTCAGAGGTAATGAGTAATATGGTCCTAAAATGTTAACACTGATTCAGTTACCTTACCCATTTTAAATCTTACTACTAATTAATTTTCATTTTATTGATCTCCTCTCTCACGGTATTGGTGAGAAAATGTAGTACTTTGGACTGATACACATCTACCCTAGGTCTTTAATTATCTATATTAATTAATCATTAGTTCTAATCCTTATTTTGATTAGTTTATCCAATCTACCTCGCAATTATTTCGTCTCTATGCAAGTAAATAAACAGTTTGGTTATTATTAATAAGAAGTGCTGACATTCGCTGAGTTGAATTATCTCTATTTAGGGACAGAAAAATAATATAGGCATCAATACAAAGCAGCAAATATATAATATTATAATTATGATAGCGAATTTACTTGAACATAACCTCTTTGAACGATATTTTCTATGTGTGTTGGAATTGATGCATCAGTTCCAATACCATGACGTTCCATAGCGGTAATTAATTCAGATTCAGTTAAATAGTCTGGCGGACCAGTTTGTCCTTCAATCAAACTTGGTTCTTCAAGTAAATTGAATTGATAGCCTTGATTAAGAAGTGATTTAGGCAATGATTTATCTTCTACTGCTTGCCAAGTTAATATTCGTGTAAAACCAGGTTCAACTACTTTTAATCCACTTATTGTAAACAATTCACCATCACCAACGGATACAGTCACTTGTGTTTGCTCATAACAGCAATCGGGCATAATCTTCAAGGTAAATAGGAAAAAGAGTATAATCGTGTTGGTAATGCTAGATACCCAGAAATCAATTGGTGAACATATTTTTGAAATTTGAATTCCTCATTTTCGCTTTAAAAGTGCCCATATAATTCACAATAACTTCCAGTAAAAACATTTTACACTACATGAAAGTAATTAATTACACAATTTACTTTTTCAAAACCGATCAAAATTTGCCAAACAAGTTATATAAAATGCATTTATGATCTTTAGTGTAAAGCGTTCAAAGCTAATGAAAAAACTAATGGACAGTATTTACCAGTTACCAAATAGTTCAGTCCTAGTAAATCTCAGTAACTAACTGAATAGCTTGAGCTTAGTTTAAAGAGATTTTTTAACATGAACTGATATCAATTAGGAATTTTAAAATGTCACTTTCAACGTCAAAGGCAATATGTCTTCTTGGTTTTGTAGAAACATACATATACATAAGGAATGAGCATTTTAAAAATTTGTACATAAAATCACTTACGGTAGCGATAAAATGTTGTGTAATATATTCATACAATCGGTAGGCTTCATGTCCGAGTTCTTGGGAAGACGCAAAACGCATGGGAGCAATAGGAGGATGATCACCTGCATCATGACCAGCACGAGGTGGAGTCAACCCACTGTGTAGAATTTCACGAGCTAGATCTCCCCAAAGTGGATTATTCACCTAAAATGTTTATATCAATGTAGAGAAAAACAGAGGTTTAAAACAATCAGTCCCTTTGTAAATTTCGATAGTGTAATAATATTTTTATATATAAATGTTCTTAACAAGTACACGTGTGATCAGACTGTTCGAAATGTATTGCGCTAATATATCACAGTTCTGATAATCTTCGTCTTCTTACTACACTACCGAAAAACAGAGGTGGTGAATTAAAATTTTAGCAGGAAATTACATGCAAAATAAAATCCATTAATTATAACTAAACCTATGTATTTCTTAGATTGGAAGCATTATAAAGATCGTTCGACATAAAGATAAATAACCTATAAATCGGGTTTTAACAGGACAAACACAGGAAATGAGGGAGAAATGGAGAACTGTTTACTTGGAATTGTGGAACTCAGCAGTGCAGAATGACAACTGAGTACCAGTGTTCCCTGGTATTTAATATTTGTGTGGCTAAAATTCAGTTCGTGATTCAAATGATTTATTTATGTCAATTTTTGCGATTACTTAGATGTATCATCTGGTTCAAGTGTGAATGATGAATAATAATTATGACCGACAATGTCCAAGATTTTTTTCAATCTAAGTACAGTAAAACCTATGAACTCTATACTGTACTAATATTATCTCCTGAGGATCTAGAATTTCAAGAATAGTAAACAGGCAGTTAAAATCACCTCTTTAGGAAAATTTTCCAGTCACTTGCAAATAAAGATAGATGAGTCTCATTTCACCTACTTCAGTTTTGGCAGCCATCAAACAAGAACAAAATGTAATGTAACGCCGAGTTCAGATGTTTTCACGTAGTAACTAGGCTACATTATTTGGATTACTATGTAAAATAATTATGATTGTTATATTTATCTTATATGACCAGTTTGTGAAGATGAAGAATACTTTAACAATAGATGCTGAATTTGAGTCAGGGTGGAATATTGTTACAATTAAGACACCCAAAAGCATCAAGTGTAAACTCAATTTTAAAACTATAATAATTGGGTAGTTGATTAAAGATGGAAAAGTAAAGGAGTTAGTCACTGAAGCTACTGCTCCGAATCATGTTGAGGTTCACATCGAACTTCAATTTATTCACAATACCAATTCTTTACAATCTAGAATATCTCAAATAATTGATTGCATTTATACGCGATTTAAGATAACATATTTCCAATAGTAATAAACGTAAGAAAACTTGCTGGCTCTTTGAAGAATACTAACCAAACGTAACATACCTGCTGTTGTAGTAATCCACGTAAATCAAATGTGCTTGGATAAGCTGTTGTTTCAGTACGTGGATAGTTTATGTAACCAGATGTATACAATCGTTCCGCTATAGCCATTGCACTATGTGGTCCAATACCTAAACCAGCACTGGCAACTCGTAACATTTCTACTGTATTCAAACCTTGTGGACGTGGTTTAATTTTCTGTTTAACTGATACTTGAACGACTCTGAAATAGAATTAGGTTAATAAATCTTAAACGGCAGTAAAGTAAATACATGTGCATCATGTGTGGCTGTTTAATTATAATTATTTGAATAGAATATAAGTTAAGACAATTCGACCCATTAGAAACTGAGCGATAAATACTTTTCTGCATGAAAAAAACGTGCCCACGCTTAGCCATTTAAACATTCCCGAAATGAGTTGTAAACCAAATTTTTCAAAGTCCTAGTAAAATAATTTACACAGACGATTTTCGACTACACAACCAACTTTCAAAAACATGATTAATTTAAATTAGTGATCTTTAGACCTTTAAAATTTCAATGATTTCTACTACGTAAACGTACTGAGACCACAGTTTTGTGAAAGAACTTGAGCATTCGAATTATATATATATATATATATATATATATATATATATATATATATATAGAGAGAGAGAGAGAGAGAGAGAGTATAAAATTATGTGATAATAAATGGAAATTTTCGTATCAGAAAAATTTAGAACATAAATAAGCGAACAATATTCTTTTCGATTAGATCCTCATCAGGTTTTATTCTAATATACAGTAATATCTATATGCATATACGAAATTATTGAACCAATCATGGCAGTTAATGAGTCAATGATAACAGTGGAATAGATTATATATGGTTTACAGAAATAAAGTTACTTATCGTATTCCTACTAGTTTTCCTTATGGGGTTCGATCTCGTCCCTTACACAAAGCAGAAGTTATAGGGATTCGAGCCAACAATCCAAGTCTTTGTGTTCATAAGAAATTTGTAACATCCTTATCTCTCCCTTGGCCTTAATAAATGATTTTATTTTCCATACTCTTTCTTGGTTTATTTTTCTTCACCCCCTCTCCTACCAATTTTTTTCCTCAAATATACCTGAACATTTCTTATTGCGTAATCTTATAATTTTTATGAATGTTATTTCAGTGTCTATATTTTTCTAACCATTTCCCATTATATAACATTGATTCAAGCTTTCATTATTCTTATCACCACTAGTACACCTATCACCACGCTACCAGTTTGTACTTTTCACTTATTATGTTTAGTTATGTAATCTATTCCACTGTTATCATTGACTCATAAACTGCCATGATTAGTTTAATAATTTCGTATATGCATATAAATATTACTGTAGATAAGAATAAAGCCTGATGAGGATCTAGTCGAAAACATTGTTCGCCTTTATATGTTGTTCTTAATCAGAAAAATTTACCGTTTATCAAAACTCCCACAATGAAACTGAAGCGTCAAGACTAAAAAAATATCTGATGGTTTATGATCATTTTCTGTTTACTTTTAAGGTATCAAATCATAGAATTTAACCACTCAAAAAAATTGATTAGGAGCAAGATAATGTTAGTTTTATTTTTACTGTTTCAGACATTTTCATACATGTGTGTTCATGATCAAAAATTGTTTCGGGATCCTCAAAATTCACCTTAAGTATCTAAACTTTTACCATTACAAACAGCGTACAGGAGCACTATATATGCGTATTTCTGTGCAGTTTTGAAGAAACACACATAATCAAATAGTTATTAGGCTGGTGACAACTACAGTCAAATTCATGTACTTAATACACATGATTCATTTAAATACATCGGATCTTATTTTAGTTATGATTATGAAGAAAAGGAACAAAGCAGTAACCAAGTTATCTAACCAATTATCATATAATGATCTTTGATATAAATCAGTTTACTGCTTTCACTGTGAATCTTTCACATCAAAGCTACTTCCTTACAAACAAAATTTTTAGTTTTATTGACTTACTCTGCTGTTTTGGAAGATTTGACTCGATTTAAAAATACTGAAGCAGCTTCTTTATCAAAGATACGATCACGATTCCATGACATTTCTAGTACACCCCCGGTATCATCTACACCCGAGACCTATGATCGTTATCATTAACGAAAATAAATTTGAGGTGTAAAACAATAACAATAATTTTATTAAGGGAGGATAAACCTTGAAATACTTCATTTAGAACAACATACGCAAGGGAACAATATTGTTTTCAGTTAGATTGTTATCAGGACCTACTCTAATACGTAATAAAATTTATATGCATATTTGGGTTTCGTATGATTATTGGAGCAGGTGAATTCACTTTTTATCTTCCCTTAAATCACAAGTTTCTGAAGTCCTCATAGGTTTTTTATCATTACACTATTTTTTTTCTCAAACTGTAACTTGGATCGCTAACCTTTACTATTACCATCTGTACTATTTTGAGATTTCTTCTGATAATTTTATTGAGCTGTGCCAATAAGGTATGGCAACTTGAACCAATGTACACGTATCCCAGGCTCTACGTTGCGTTCGACTGACACACACGGAAATATCAAACCAATTGTTGGGGATGTTAGATACTCAGAACTCACTTGATAAATACCTTATTTTTGTAATTTTACTTTAAAATTCTACATTTCTTCATTTTCGCGCCAAAAGCGCTCTTTTAACCTTCATGTCGCATTTTTCACTTGAGAAAATCCTAAACGCTATCGGTCCGTTGTATCTTTTAGTATGCTATTTTGTAATGCTTCCCTAGGACAGTTTTGATTTGTACCCATTGGGGGTGCTTGTGCGTCTGGATGCTTACGGAGTATATTTTCCCCACTTCCAACTTGGACTTCTCACTCTAGTTAGGGAGGCTGGGACGCGTCAGAATAGAGAGCTTATTTGTCTTTGCTCACAAGTCCTTGTTCTGCTCGCAGACTAGGTAAGCTCGTAATCACTTCAAACATAACACCAATCAAGACAGATTGTGAGCCTATGATAACAACGAAAGTAATTATACAAATAAACCTAATAAAAGGTAAAAACTGATGGTATGATGATAGGTGACTATTAGTGATAACAAGAATAAAGGTTTGAATCAATTATTCAGAATTGAAATTTGATATCTGTAACTTGCATAAGCTGACAGTATGTAGGGAGGATAAGGTGCTAAACATGACTTAATGTGAAGTCATACAACACCACCTATGAGCCTCATCTAGTGTCGGTATTGATAATGCGACGTAATAGCACAAATCTTGGTAGTTACAAGACTTTTAGTGAATCCATGAACCAATACCCGGAAAATAAATTGATGAAACTATTGTAAGTAGGATGTATCTCAGCTTATTCTTAATCAGTAGAAGATGTAGATGTAAATGATCAGAAAAGTGGCCGAAGGAAATACATTTTTTTCTAGTGTTAAAGTAATGTGATTAACACCACGTCAATAGCTTAAGAAGTTACGTAATCAAATGAAAGGTACACATTAGTATCCAAAATAAAAACAAAGGGAACTGTATATTGAATTAAAGTCAAGGAGGGTGATTAATGATCTTAAGATCAGTGACACATTAATACTTGATATAAATCGAAAGAAAAATGTTCAAATCATCAATGGACGCAATACAAAATTACATTGCACACATGTCTCTAAGTTATATGACCAGAGATTTAAAATCTGAAATACGTAAACCCAGATCTCTAAACGGAATAAATATTAAGATCGATTATCAACTAGTTCTGGGGAAAACATATGACAGAATTTAAAATTTTCTGCCACACTATGAAAATTGAGTAAACACTCATGGTTTTAAACTACGAACACAACGTTTTTAGTTACCTTTATCCGCCAAAATGTTTCTGGTTTAAATGACTGGATTTGGTCGTGTCGTTTTACACAAAATCCAAGTGTAGGTGTTTGACAAGGTCCAAATGATACAAGATTGCTGTTTAGATCACCATACTTCCCCTTAAACAGATAGAAACTTTTATTCCAAGAGAATGTATACAGAAATCGATAAACAAACGAAAGCAAGATATATGAGTAAATGGCTTATAAAAATTACTAGGTTCTTAGTCGAAAAACAAACAAATACAAAATGCTAACAATAACTTGGTCTAAATTGTACCGTAAAATCTTCAATTTTATTCTATCACTACCACAATAAACGAGACTAATAATACAGAATTAATGACTAATAACCTTGTCATGTAGTCAAATTACAACGATTACTTCAGCCGTACAGTATAAACTATGATTTATCAAATACATTTATTTAAGAATATTGGACACCAAATATAAAATGCGCCACTCAAATCGTGAAAATAACAGTGACGAAAAGAAATTACATTTAGAGAAGAGAAAAATAATTGAACAGAAACAGGATATGATGGGAAATAAAGTTTAGCTAACAATACAAACAAAAAAATTTCCTTCCAATTAAATGAACCCCTTTCATTATTTTACGAATTTAAAGGAAAATTACAATAGGAGTTCATTCATTGGCTTCTGTCTCAGGCAGTGATTGATAGTATTCCAAATCACTAGGTTGCACTACCCATCAGACGCCAATCAGAGATTTATGATGGATAGACAGATTCCAACCCTACATAGCTTCCTTTCATACCGCGGCACCATGTCTTAAACTGACCATCTCCTCACTTTTTCCAACTAGTTCCAGAGTCGGCAAATAATTGATGTGGAAGTCTTTGAGATGGCATTCGTGACTATGCTACCGAAATCGACATTTCAAGATGATGCCAACTGAGTCGTTGTCACTGTGCTCCAACACATTGCTGAACCTAAAGAATACTAACAAATGTTGTCTGAAAACGTCACCAATTCTTTGGAGAAAATGAAGACCGACGCCAAACATTCTCAACTCGGAGAGGTCAGATTTCACAAACATAGATCAGATTCTCTCCCACTGAATCGCTGTAAACCTAATCTTTTACAGACAGACTAAAAATACGACTGCACCAAAGATAGCCTATGTTCCCATAAGCTACTTCGGCTTTTACGACTACTCACACTACCACCAGCACCCACACGGCTACCTAAACACGCAAACATTTAGATTAATTATGACGCAATATCGCCGAGAGTGATTGTAGGCACAAGGCACCTGCCAGCCTCATGAAAGTTCTTTGCAAAGCACATGGCATACCGATTGATAGTGATTGTAAGCTGAAGTGAGGATAGCACAACTTGCGTATCGTCGTACAGTAATACAATGTCATTCGAATACTCAAGATCAAAAGGTGTTTCTCTAAGTAACACATTCACACTATCATCATCAACTTTCTAGTTCCATCAAAGTTATTTCCAGAATATCATTGGAGGCAAAGTTGGAGAGAAATGATAAGACTAGTCAAACCCACAAAATCCCACTTCAGGAATGGGAAAATGGGGGTAGGTGGTTATATGTCGTCATTCTGTATACAGAACCTACAAGATGTCAATAAACTTCTCAGGAGCACTCTTTCTCGACGAACAAGATTAGAACACATTCCTATCCAACAGATTGAAAGTAGTCCTGATATAAAAAATATAGCGATTGTTGACCTAACATAAGGATGATGACGCTCTAACATTTGTGAGGCTTATTTATTTATTTGAACTCATAAGTATTGGTACAAGGGGGCACCAGATATATATGCACAACACAAAACAGTGAGAATGGAAAGATAAAAAGAGGGTAAGTTGCAAATAAGAAAAAAGATAAAGGAACAATACAAACCACAGATTTGTGTGTGTTAGTATGATAATAAGAATAATAGTGAGGGAAACAGAAGTATACAACCAGAAGAACTCTTTCAGTTAAGGAAGTTATTATTATTATTATTTAGACACATAAACATTGGTACAAGGAAGCACCAAATAGATATGCGGTTGGTTTGGAATCAGGGTTTTCCAACTCCCCTAGGTGAACCTTGCGTGTCCACCAACGCGGTTGAAGCGCTGGATATTCGCTTTTCGTCCTCTCAATTTCGTAAACAACAGTAATGCAACGAGAAGACAGTGAGTAGGACTTCCCTGTCAGTGGTTGTATGCACGTGGCTATGTGAAAGCATTTCAAGAGGGAGGGCTGACTCTCCCCACTCTCGGCCATATCAGGGCATTTGATGGCAGGAAGTTATAACCACTCTTTATGAAGAAAGTAAAAGATTATAGCAGGATCGCCACTGGCTTCTATTCTGAACCATATCTGATAACGTCTCTAGCCACTGTGTTGCACCATCTCTTGGACCCCAATCAGGAAGTCGTGAAGGACCAACAGGAGCCAGCCCTTTGCAGCTTTCTTTCATACCACCACACCATGTCATACAATGACTACCTCTTCGCTTTTCCAACCAGCCACAGCGTCGGCAAATAATGCACGAAGTAGAATTCTCTAGGACAAAATTCGCGGAATATGGTCTAAGCCACCGAAGTCGGTGTTTCAAGATGGTAACAACAATTAGACTATCGTCTCTGCGCCCGAACACACGATGCTGAACCTCTACATTACTAACATGCTGTTGCCACTGGATGTCAGCAATCCTTCAGAGACAACGATGATTAAACATGGAGAGTCGTCTAACATCCTCCAACTCGGAGAGGACAGGTTTCACAAGCGTAGAGAAAAACTGCTCTCACCGACGCGTTGTAGATCCGATCTTTTACAACCAGACTAACATCATGAAGACGCCAATGGTGGCCCAGCCACTCTGAGCTTCTCGACTACTTATATTTGCTCACTACGTAGATTGTGTGCAGGATTTGAGTCCTCCCAGTCTTGTAAGAGTACTTTACACTTCGAAGGTGCAAAGCACATACCGTACCTACGGAGACCTATTGCCAACTGATTAAGTGAGGATTGCATGGCTTGGGCATTATCGCATAGTAAGACAATATCATCCGCATACTCAAGGTCGAAAAGTCTTTCTCCAGGCAACAGATCCACACCGCCATTACTTACATCTATCAGAGATGTTTCCAGAATGACATCTATGGCAAAGTTGAAGAGGAATGATGAGATTGAGGAACCCTGTCTAGCCACACTGCTTGAATGGAACAATGGAGGAAGGTGGTTGCATGCCCTTACTCTGTTTGAGGTATTTGTATATAGAGCCTTTAAGATGTTACAAAACTTCTCAGACACACCTTTCTTCAATAGACAATCCCAGAGGACAGTCCTGTCCAACGAATCGAAGGCCGCCCTGATATCAAGAAACACTACGCTTGTTGGCCCGTGATAAGTGTGACAGTGTTCTAACATTTAGCGGAGAGTGAAGATATGATCAATGCATCCTCGACCAGAACGATAACCAACATGCTCCTCGTGGATCAGTCTTTCTAGGGTTTTGAACAATCTACTAAGTATGACAGAAGCCAATAGTTTGGACGCAATCGGAAGTAGACTTATCCTCCGATGGTTGTTATAGGAACGATGTGAACCCTTTTTAAAGATAGGGACGACTATTGACTCATTCCATGATGTTGGGATACTCTAAATGTCAGACCTTTGTAAACAACTCAGTCAATTCCTTAGCCAGAAAGTCACCAATATCTTTAAAAAGAGCCGGAGGTAAGTCATCTGGGCCCGGTGATTTGCAGTGTCTCGAGAGTTGGAGTTCCTTGTGGACTTCCACCTCATTTGGTGGAGCAGTCGTCACCGGCCATGGAGGACAGGACAATTTGATGGATGTTGCCAGAGCAGCAGGCTGTTGCACTGTCCTTCAAAGAATTATGCCCATCGTCCAAGACATCGATGGATGTTAGTGATTGGCATCCCGTCATCTTCACAGACTATTTCACTTACAACAGACTTCTTGCTGCCAGTGGCTCGGATGAACAGGAGACAATTCACCGGGGCCAAGTGACTTCTGCAGCTTTAGGTGGTGAAGTTTCTTTAAGACTTTCCCCTTGTCAAGTGAATCAGTTGTCAACGGCTAGGGAGTGCAGGACAGCCTGGTCTATATTGCTGGGGCAGCAGACCAACTGAACTGCACATCGAAAAACTTGGTCCATTGTCTGAGACGCCTTCGGATGCTATTGAATAGCGTCCAATCAGTTTTCCAGATTGTTTCATTCATATCAAGGACTTTGTTGTTGGTGACCTGGGTGAGTTGAAAGAGCGTCCAGAAATTGACAGATGCAGAAGATGTTTTCAACTTGTTAGCACACTCCAACCACTAAGCTCCCCAGTCCTTACGCAAGCTTTTTGTAATACCTTGATGTAAGAACCCACGTTAATTGCCAAACTCTCAGTCAGCCAGAGTAAACCGACTTGACTCAAGGAGTTGTAAGGGCCCTGTAGAAACCCACTGCTTATATAAGTGGGACGTTTAGCAACACTGCAAGCGACTTTACTGCCCATTTCTATGGTGTCATGCAAGTGCAGCCAGTCTTAATCTATAATTTTCGGTGGTGTAATCGCTACCTTTGAATCTAGCCCAGTTTGATATTTCGCTGAGACGAAAGTTGGGTCCGATTTGCTGATAACAGTCTGTTTAAGGAGATGAAATAATTAAGCCGGTGGGACGCAAGATAATGATGATGAAAATGAAAGGATATCATTATTTAAGGTCCTACCATACCAAACAAGTCACTTGAAAAGCGTTAAAACCAAAAGTAGTAAAATAAAAATCTGGTAGGGAAGTCATAATACAGACTGTGCCAGAGTGTAGCAGTAATAAGCTGCTTCTCACAGGAAATCAGCATCTTCAGTCACACAACCTTCCCACTAAAGAAGTTAAAAATGATGGGCTACGGAATTTAATACATGCTTCCTAGCGTGATGGAGTATCAATAAGGGTAGTAAGAATTTACAAGAATAACTGAATCATCTACAAATCACCATTCTATTTATCACCTTAACTAATTAAAAGCCGTAACAAATATTTGAAATTATCTTCCATAAAGAAAGTAAACACTTCTGAGATAAATTAGAAAGTGATATTTCCACACTGAATTGCCGATAAGAGGGATGATAAAATAATAATGCTGATTGACGAAGCAGCAGCATTCATGAAGTTAACAGATTGGATATCACTAAGAAGTCTCAAAGAATTATTTATTCAGTTCCATGGATGTAATGGTGATATCTATAATTTTGAGGAAATATACGCTAATTATAGTATTCAGACTCGTATATCAATTAAAATACTTATTACTGCATTATTCGCAATCAGAATAGACTATTTATGAACAGTTATATGTATTTAGATAGAAAGCTAAACAACCTAAAAAAAATCTCATCAGAAGGAGAATACAAACGTTACCATAATTATGATTTTATAGACTATTTTATTGATTGAGGAAAAACATCACTTTAATTCTGAAGACTCACTTGAAAAAATTTCGTTTGGAACCTAGTGAACGCACAACCGATTCGAAGATCAAGTTCTTGCCTAGCATCTACTGACAATGCTTCGTGTTTGTTAGGTTCTCTAAGATTTTTCATAGCACCATGTAGTTCTTGGTCAGTGACAGCACTGAAATGTGCACGTAGAATTCTTTTCTGAACATAAAATCACGGGTAGACAGACTAATCATGAAATAAAAGATTTATGAAATGAGACGAGTAAGCATTTTCAATTTTAGCTAGGATTAAGGACAACTTACTCTCAAAATATGAGATTAAAAGAAACCGGTATGTTCAGTATAATTGAGCGATTGGAATCAAGTTCCTTTACACAGTAACACTTACGTGACATTTCATTTAAGAGCATTAATATCTTCCAATAATAACTCTTCATATAAACATCAAATAAAAGCGGAAGCGCAAAACAGAATGCAGAAGCTACTGCCACGGTGTATATTTGAAACAAATATAGTAAATCAAGTGCTAGTTAGGTGGAAAACTGGATAACAAATGAGTCTCCAGTTGATATTTCAATAGTTGAAGTGAGCCAAAATAAGCTATGACTATTCACCCATCAACTGCTAATCTTCAAACATTAAAGCACTTTTGGACAAGGTGAAGAAAATGTGAACTTATAAACGGGAAAAGAGAACCATCAAATGTGATAAATTAATGGAAACAGACAATAACTGTCAATCAGATAATCGAAAAGATTGGGAATGATAACAAAAAACCGTCACAATGTGACGTGTTTGAGACACCTAATAATTACGGTATGCACTAACGTTCGATGACACACCTCAATTGGTCATTATGGTTCTCAAACGTTTAATGTTGTTCACAGCTGCATAGTCAAAAATAAGTGAAACATTATTAATGTTCTAGAGCTATCAACCCTTTTAAAACTTTAATTTATAACTTCACTTGGTGTTGTTTACTTGTATCTTCCCATTGTTATTTAGGATCTTTTTCAAACCACACACGACGTATTGGTTATTGGACGACAATTCATCTTTTAACATAATTTTGATAACTGGAAATAATTAAACTTATTAGCTCATATGAAGCTGAAGGAAAGGCGAAGAAATACAGTGAATTTACTGTACTCATCAAAAGTTGTCGTTTTTGCTTTGTTTAGATTTGTGAAAGAAATTGATTGTATAAAAATTCTTAATGGTCACAAATAAAAAATAGTAATGGACTGGGAAGTAAATAAACATGATATACAAGCAACTCACGGGATGTATCATAACTGAATGAACACAATTGATAACTTCAAAACAGATATTTTCGCCCTCTTTGTCACAATCAAGCCAAAGAATTAATATACCAGCATTTTTCGCCTAAACAATAGTACTGTTAAAGATATAAAAAACCTCGTGACGAAGAAAATCCACCATTTTCAATTTAGGGTTAGCTTCTTTTTTCTCAATTGGTGCAACAAACAGCTCAGCCTAAATTTGATAGACTTGGAAAATTAACTTACAGGATCTACTTTATCCCAACTATTATAACGACTTAAGAAATCGACATTCATTACATGACCACACACTGACGTCATTTTAAAGCGAACTTGTTCACTCATAAACTGACCAGTCCATTCATGAATAGAACATGCTCCATTGAATCCACGTCGACTCGAATTACGCTTATTAGATAACGATTTCGCTATTGATTCAGCTAGTGATGGTTTTTCAGCAACCATAAATACAGTCTGCATGGTATCTCCTGAAATGAACAGTAAATCAAGGTCAGTCAGTCATATTTAACGTAGAATCTGACACGTATGTACACCCCATTAGCACATAGATATGAAACTGTCAGGACAAATCCTACAATAGTAGAGGTAGTATTCGTTTTAGTGATGAAAGATTAGGCACCAGATATACAATTCGAGAAGATTTTAAATTGGCGAAAAAGGTAGTATGAATACTTCAGAAGCTTGGAATTTGAAGGAAGAAGAATAATGGATACACCTGTATCATTGCGAACGGTTTTGAGTCATCTAGTTCTTTCTCCATGCAACAAATACACATGCGCAGAGATGATCTGTAGACAATCTCTATCAGTACTGAGCAAAGCAACTGGTCAGTTTCGAGAACTAAACTTTCTGGTCCATAAAAATAGAAAATGCCTGTTTATAGCTACGAACATGATTACCCAACAGATTAATAGCTCTGAATATGATTAATTTTTCACTGTTTAAAAAGATTTTGAACATTCGCTAACACCCAAATTCAGTATATGACTTATTAATTTTTCATGTTTTAATGGACTTATAGGTTAACACTATTTAAAGCACAATACTTCTTTCAAGTTCTGTGGTGAATTTCAATATCCTGGACCCAAGTCTTTATGTATGAAGTAAAATGCTTTTCTGTCCCATCAAAATGGTATTAAAATGTGTTGAAAGATGTTAAAATCTGTACGAAAGTATTCAGCACTATCAAAATACTAAAATGTTGAGACATAAACTTTAACGGGTTACCCAACCAACTAACTTCCATTTCTTCGCAAAGTGACAAAATTACACGAGAAAGAGACTCGTAAAAATTGGTGAGTCGAAATATTGCGAAAGGTGTTATTTTGCTTGGTTTCAAAAAACTTCTTATGGAATAATTTATCAGATAGTGTAGGTATTCGTGCAATTACTTGTTATTGAGTGCATAGGGAAAATTATGCACGAAATATTACAATGGTGACGAGATGTTCTACCGGTGTTAGGAACGAAGAATTCTTTGTACAGTGTAGATTAATTACCTAAATTACAAATATATTTGTGACTGAAGACTAAAATATGCATCGAACTTTTAATAACGCTAGTGACGCAAAAATTCTATGCGTAACAATACTGGGAGAACAACCAAATTTAAGGTTTACAACTAATCTGGAAATGACATGATTACTTTTACAATTGCAATTGCGTTTGGCCTCGATTACTGGTGTAACGAACCACTCAAGTAGCGCGCCATTTATAATCTCTGTTATTCAAAAAGCAATTTTCAGATGACAGTATGATAGATTAATGGACCGTGCAGATTTCCTCAACGTGTACTTTACTCGTAGTTCGATGCCTCTGAACATCTATATAAATTCTTCCTAAATTTAACTTTATTTACTATTCCACATGAAGTTTCGTTTTATTTATTTTGACCTATGTAAAGTTTTCACACGTTTAATACACTTGTGAGATAGTTAATATAGACTTAATTTGCAAAAAGTTTCTAATTATTTTGAACTGGCAGTATTTTAGTCTACCACAACTATCTAGTGAGCCCTTATGTTTATTTTTTCACCACACTTATTATCTCACAAGACGTGTAGGCTTTTTCATATTATCTATTCTACTGATGATCCTAGTGACTTTGAGATCCCTTCTCCAAAGACTCTCCCGGAATTATTTCAGATGTCTGAAGCCCTATCAACTACGGATAGTACAATTTCGGAGTTCAGGCTTCCAGCATTCTCGTTAAGCAACTCAGGAAACTGGTTTGCCCAGAGAGAAGCATGGTTTTCGGCTTGAGGAATCCGCTAACAGGCAACGAAATACACGAACATAGTAGGTGCCATTCCGATTGAAATCGTTTACAAAATCGGTGATTTTATCGAGATATCTTTACTGCAGTTAATCAGTTAGCTTCGGATATGAACTTTGATTACAGGATTACAGGTACACCTTGCTGACGAGTGCCAAGTAGCACGAAACCCGGGTCCAGGGTTTCCTGTTGACCACCTCCAACCACCATCTTACTTTGATTCTGTCCTGTTAAGTCAATTATTATAACAGCCTACAAATTTCAGGTGATGTAACTACTACATATTTACGTGACCTACAAAGAAGCTTGGGCTTTCTGAAAGCGACAGCAATCAGCACGACGTGACTATCCTGTCTACCAAACCTCGATACAACTAGCTCACTAGTTTTTTGAAGGGGAATCTCAAAAACTAAGAACACTCAATCAAAGCCCTCCAGGCATTATACTGTGCAAGGAATGTTCTCCAAACTCACGTTCAGTGTTGTGAAAGTCTACATATATCACTGACACAAAAGTTGGAAGGACGAATTAAATGCACTACAGCATCAGTTTCCATTTCTAGTAACACACCTTATACCAAAAGACATTACAACTTCCTTCCCAAACCTCACAAAACCCTATGTAGCGACTATTGGAAAGAATGGACAATCAGAGGTTCCCATCGTAAGGCCGGGGATGATAGATAATACAGGTGACAATTTAAGATGCTGAGAGGGGGTAAATCATGGTGGTTGGACTATATATTATTACAAGCTCAAAATCCAGTCGAAAAGATCCGTGACGAAACCCCTACAAGTTACATCGAACGTCATGAAATTGCATCTTACATTATTTTCAATGAGATACAGTCATGAACTGAAAGGAATTCATGTCTCTGCAGTAATCTGATGAACTGTCTAGACAGCAAAAATCGTTTTCAATATGACTTATTGACCTTAATGAATGCACACATTACTGTACCATCAACCTCTCGTTTATGAAAATGTCTAGAGGCTGTCGCGTAACCTGACTACAAGAACATACTACACAAAACAAGTCATTGGTCGATCTAACTCTCAGTACCGCACCAAAATCAAGGCTGCTGAAGTCTTTGATAAACAGCTAAACTAGGCACCCGACGAAAACAGTTTCAAACATCAGTAAGCAATAATTAGAGCGCTATTCAATTAAGACTGGGGAATAGTTGGGAAAGTTATCAAGAATGAAACCATGTGAGTCACCATGTTGAAATGATAAATGCTTTGTTTCACAAAGAGGATCGTCAGATGTCTATTGAGTATTCTCTGTCAACAATCCTTAGATTACAATCAAGCGTCAAAATTGTAGAAAGCAACGATCTGATTTTCGACTTTTAACGGAGGAGACAGAATCAAATCCGGCTGTTATAGACTTTTAACACTACTTTCAATATCATCGGATGTATTGGGAAGCCTTATTGATGACCATATGACTAGTTGACTAATTGAAACAGTCTCCACCGTGAAATATACATTTATATCGGACTTCGGGAAAGCATTTGATATGACATTGGAGTTATGAAATTTAGTGTTGTTAACATAAGTCAAACATGTTTGACAGTGTTTCGCAATCAATAATTTGATCCCTACTTAAATAAGTAACTTAGCCTAATGATATGATACAGTTGAATATTTTGATTTGAAAATTATCCCAAAAATATTCTCCGTACAAATATATCAGATGATCGCCCTACAAGTCTATTTCAAGTATGGCATCCCAAATACGTATATGTATCTGGACATGTAGTAATGTGGTGTGTGCTACTTATGTCGACAGATATAAGTAGTATGTAACACCAATCGAAAGCAGAAAACCTGGGAGCAGAAGGCTATGAAGATCGACTTGAAGAAAAAAGAAGCGGAAATAAAAAAGAATTTTACTTGGAAGAATCATATAATATGTGGAGGACAAATGATAAAATTTTACAAATGAAGTATTCGGTGTATGGTTCTTATATTTTACCAAGACATTCTGTAATTTCGCAGATGGATCTCAGGCTACTGAGCTATTTAGATGATAAGTATTTCATGTGCATTTTGTCTGACTTTAGTAGATACGCTTGACTGAGCGTATTGTGTCTGTCTCAACTGACAAGGTCATGATCATTGCTGAATACCTACAGAACTATTGTATGAGCATTCACTTCCAAATACAAGCTCTTTTTTCACATACCTAAGTTCTGTCTTTGAACATCATTTATTCAGGGATCCCAAAAGCGATATCTACACAACGGGAGCTTCTTAGTTCTATTCACAACTACTTGTAATCGTATTAGGTCGGTCATTATGTTTTATTTAGTTGCAAAGAACTACCACGTGCTATCAGCGGGTTGGTCTAACAAGACCTTGTAGCTTTTGACAAAAAACTGATGGCAGATCGATCAGTCAAAGTAATTTTATATGCTTGCAAGTTAAGGACGCTATACAGAAGAATTCAATGAGTTGTATGTTTGTTAAAACACCATACATACTTATTACATACAGTGACGTAAGCTAATAATTCTACACTGTGAAAATTTAGCATAATTTATTTTCTATAAAATATCTAGACGGGTTTTAGAAGCGTAATTAGTGAATATTCTGAAATCATTTTCCCCATCTCCACTACTTCAACTAAATTTTTCTAGACTATCACCATTTATTAACTACTGTTTTATTTACCATGCCTTCTGATTCTACTCAACAACTAAATTTCCATGGCCTTTGCATTGTCTTAGTAACGTGCATATATGATCAGAAATGTAACTTTTGTTTTTTTTATTATGATGCTTTTATTCCTGTTAAATAGTGTTAAGTCTCTTATTGTTCTTATCACTTTTTTATTTCTTATATACTATAGAATGTTAAATAATTTATTTGTTGTACTAATTGTCAAGGGATTTGAACCGATTGTAACAACTATCTAGGTCATCCAAAAAAGTGCATAAAAATACAACTACTGTTAGAAAAAGTCATGTTTAAGTATTACTAATGTAAGGTAATGTAGGAGTAGATGACTTAAATTACCTAAAGTATATTTTAACCGTGTAAATATATGTCTAACATTATCAAATAATGTATACTTGTCGTATTCAAACCTTGGTAATCCTAACTTCTAATTGCCAGTAATGTGTCTGTGTAACGTCAAGGTTCAAGTTTGCATTATAAAGTGATTTATACAGAGCTTGGTAAGAAATATTTAAGGCACAGGTAACAGCAGTATTAATCAGTCATGAAAATATAAAAATTCTTGGATATATTCTCATTCATAGTTAGTTGACAACAAAATTGATTTTGGTTATCTATATACTATAATATATATTAAAACCAAAACCTTTTATGGACAAAGAGTAGTATATATCAATACTATGTAATATCATTTATAAAAATTTACCCGAGCCAAAAACTCAACCACAAGTATGTGGTACTCATAAAATAATTTATATCCTTAGGAAGTAAATATTCTTATTACAAGACAGGTCAAAGTGACTAGGATTAAACTAAAGACATGCAGAATATTTTATATAAGAGGCAAGCTGTCAAGATTTACAAGAGATCTAAAATTAGATCACTAAGTCCTAAAAGATTTTCGAGTATACACAAAAGCAATGTCATTTTGTTAAGTTGTAGAAAACATCTACCTTGTATACCATACGATGAAATTAATTTTTCTGATATTTTAACTCCTACATTTAATGTACAAATAAACGCTACAATGTTTACAATATGTAACAAAGCAAAAACAAAAGAATATTTTACATATTAATGATGCTTTCTCTTCGTTTATCACGTTTGCAATAAACAACTAACTTTAAAATGACCATAAATACATCAACTATGGTATTAAAAAAAGGTTATAAAACCAGGGAAACAAAGGTTCTACTAATTTTACATACAAGTTCTAAGAAGAATTGCATTGAATCACTAATATAAATATGTAGTTTTAAGTTCAGATTAAGTGAAATATAATAAGTAGTAGTTATTTCAAGAATTTCAAAAGAAATAACCACTGAAGTAAAAAAAAAAGAATAGCCAGAAAAAGAGATATATAAGGTTATTTTTAAACTTGTCTAAATGAAATCGATTCTAAAGGATATGATTATCCATCAGTGATATTAGTTTCTAACCAGTTGTAAAGAGTCGATATTTATAATGAATAATGTTATTGAAGATTTAAAAAAAACTAGCCAAGTAACGAAATCTGAGTGAAAAATTTATTTTTTCTCAAAATTTCACTCGAAAATGATTGATAAAAATCAAAAATGTTTTGTATCAAAAATTTTCAATATTCACTTATACTTAATATACAAATTGTATTATAATTGAATTGACTTAGTATTGTTTGTTTGAATCTTCCCATTGATGTTTAGGACTGCAACTGGTCAGTTTCTTATTGGCATATGTGCATCCAGTGTGTATTGCCTCGAAACGCGCGTCCTGGATTCCACTCTTAGCTACTATCCATCTTTGTATTATAATTGTTGAAATTTTTTTTATTAGTTTTTGAATTAAAATAGAACATTCATTTGATTTAATCTAATTTGTTTAATGCAAAATTGTGAAACTGAACAAATAATTTCATGATTAATCATTATGAAATTTTATTGGTTTATAAACTTCAAATTCACTATACAGTTTCATTAGTTCAGGTTATTTTGAAGTCTATAACTGAAAATAATATAAGTCCGTTATATCCTTTTCTTTCTATTAAAATAATCATATTTCTTGTTTATATTTTTGTGACTAATTATTTATATGATAACTTGGATAGTTTATCGTATTCCATTTCAAATACTTACATTCACTGTTTGACATTAATTGCACAGTATTTATGATCCCTACCACCTATTGATTAGAAATTTAAGGGGTGATAAAAAATTTAGAAGTTGGTGATTTTTTTTTTAAACTGTCACCTGTAATAATTTTTTAATTGGCTGTAAAATGTGCATCTTTGTAATCTGATTAGTTCAAATCGAAATAGCATAAAGTGCTTTGATTGGATGTCGGAATTCTCATTTTTACATTTGAATTTTATTTAGAATAAATAATTATGTCTGACTGTTCTATCCGGGTTTTGATAAAAAAATCTTTAACTTCTGAAAAAACTAGACACCTATTCTCTTTGACTATCCTACTATACTACCGTTAGTGACTGTTTATGGGGATCAATTTATTTTCGATCAAGACGAGATGGAACTAAAGTCTTTAGTTATCGTGACAAAAGAAATTATATGTATAACATTAAAAAAGAATTTTTGAATAACTGATAACCGTTTTTAATAGTTGGTAGAGGTGATAACTATAGTTGAAAGGTAGTCAAATGTCTAATACACAATTAGTAAACAAATTACCATCTAAGTATTTCCGTTATGCTTTTTAAACATGGTATGTTATTTTAATAAACGTTATATGAGTGTAAACGTGAGGAACAACAAAGCTTGTACTTTGTACGTTACTATCGTCCATAATGTGAAGAAAATGTGCTCTGCCGATAAGTACTGACATTTTAAACCAATTTTAAGCAATAAGTAACTAATTATAACGAATTTAAAACTAGCCATTTGATTGCATGAAACAGAATGAAGAAATTTGAAAAATAGGATGGAAATTTTTTCAAAAGGGATGAGAAAACATTTTTCAAAAAAAATACAAAATGGCCGTCAGTTTAATGATATTCACATTGACCTATTAACATTGAATTATTTTTTCTGGTTAGCGTTATTTGGGCGAGTTAGTTTTTCTACGGGATGTTGTCGCTAACCCCATGCCCAACCCTCCTCCTTTATCCGGACTTGGAACCGGCAGTAACTATAGAAGAGCTACAGGCAGAGTTCTCCAGCTGAAACATGGAGAACTACTAAATCCGTCGTCAAGACGGTACAAATATTTATAAACAGTTGTTTACGCAAAATACTAAACATTCATTGACCGGATACTATCAGCAACAGCGTTTTATGGGACAGGACGAACCAGCTTCCAGCTGAAGAGGAAATTAGGAAAAGACGTTGGAAGTGGATGGGACAAACATTAAGGAAATCATCAATGTTCATCACAGATAAACAGATTATTTAAGATGCTATCTGTTTTTAAGTTTTTCAACTACTCGTTTCTAACATAAGGTAATTCTTTAAAATATACATATCTCTTTGCACAAAGATGATCAAGACTTGGCGAACCTATAGAACTTGTCTAATGTTTCGGTTTGACATTTTCATAATTTCTTTCACCATGTTCAGTTTATCACTCCTCACAATACTATATGAATAAATGACATATCTGTTAGAAGTTTATCCATCTGAGTTTATTAGTAGTTCAGTATTTATTAAATTACATATTTTTTAATGCCAGCTAGAACAAGACAATTGTTTTGTTCTAGATAAAGATTTATCAGTGGAGCGTATTCACGACTATACGGTGAAACGAATCTAGATCATGAAGTATCACAGTAAGCACAACGGTTTTCAATCACTAAGACCAAATCCACTCGTCTGAATTTCCTGACTCAGTCACTGTGTGATATTTGTCAAACTGCGTCAGTTCAGGATGGGAAGTGTAAGATTCTACAAAATCACCACAAGACCATTTAACCTGATAATAACGATACAATTTACTAGTAGTTATCTGAGTACTGCAGATGGTCACTGTGAAGTTAACGAAATATGGGTGAGATAGTCCACCGCCGCTTACATTAGCTGGAAACAGCTGATAAGATTCACTCGGTAACTATCATAAAATACAATGTGACAATGCAAAGTGTTTGACTTAATAGCAGTATGATCACATTGGACATTCTTCATTACTAACTAACAGAATGTATAGAAATCACCATTCTGTGAACCAGACTTCAATGCTAACTGTGAAAACAAATAAAACTTTTTACAACTCAAGGACGACAGAACCGCATAATAAACTGAATCTGTATAAATCACTGTCTTTCTAAAAATTTAAACAATTTTATAAGAGAAATGTAAAATTCCTAAAGAATGCTAAGAATTACTAAAAGATTTTCAGGATGAATTTGTTAGTTATTACAATCCTTATCTTTCAGTTCTTTAGTAAAACCTGACTGCTGGTGTTTTACCAACATTTCTTTAGATATACAGTTCTATCTATAGATTACAAAAACTGCTATTTTAATAACGCTACTCTAGCTTAATAATGAGATTTTGTGTACGAAATGAGAAGTTTTTTAAATTAGATACGAGAGCAAATAACTGACCCCTAAACAATTTATCTAGACGAATGATAATATAGCAGTTTTTGAAGTTTAGTTTGACCTAGAAATAGTATCCATCTTATAATGATATCACCTGCAAAACCAATGAAAACTGGAGACCGTTTTATTGTTTCAATTTAGTAGTTTGAAATTAATATCATCATGAGCCTTGACCATTATGAGTTTAAGTGTAATTAGGCTTATGGAAGATACAAAAGTCGGTGAGTATAGAAGTGTTCCTAGTATTCTGAGATTTAAAACAATACTAAAATTAATCGTTACATATATCATTCAACATTTATAGCCTTCGGTGAAAAATGACACAACTAGATAAATTATTCAATAAATGAAGTTTATTCTCACCAATGAACATGAACTATTCAAACAACACATGTTCAATACTTTCTAATGTTCTGCAATATTCAAAATGATGTCAATCCATGAACAAACAAAAAAAGAATTATTAACGAAAACCTCGTATCGTTTATTTTAACAAAATGATAGTTTTACACAATTCAAACAAAATTAGTCCCATTTATAAAACCTTTAAAGCAGTATTTATATTTATGATGTACAAAATATTTTGTTATTGATCGTTGATTAAAAATATAAAACTATAAAATAATTAATAGAAGGTAAATAAGAAAACAAAGAAAAATTTACCGTACAACCATTTAGTTATATTATTCATAGTTTTCACTTTCATGTAATCTGTTGTACAACGAATGTCTTAGTTTTAATTCACATTCACTTTTGAAATTAAAATATTATTCACCGTATTTAAAAATACAATTTCTTTTTTGTTTTTCCAAAAAAAAATAAATTGAAGAAAATTTAAAAATTAATTCATTTTAAAAGTCATTGTATCTTATTATTTAATCGATATTTCAGGTGATGAATTAAATGAACCTGACGACGAAGACGACGATGATGATAAACGATTGTTTGGAGATTGTTGTCTATTAATTATTGGTTTATTGAATTGTTTTGAATATTTAATTTGTTGATTTAAATTAGAAGAATGTAAATCTGATTCATGATTAGATTCTGAATTATATGGTGTTTCAAGTGTAATCTTGTCTTCACCATCTTTATTGAATCGCTTCATATTATTATTATTATTACTATTTGTTTGGTATTTATTATGTGATTTAGATGTTAATTCATTTGGTTTAAAAGTATTTTTTGGTTTTTTATTTTTATTATTTTTCTGATTTATATGAAAATTTTGTTGATAAGATGATTTTTGATAGGGATATAATGAATTTGGTGTGATAAAATATTTTTTATAATCTCTTAATTGTTCTTCTCTAGTCATACCAGTTGTTGGTCGAATTTTTTGTAAGCGTTTAGCTAATTCCTGAGTATCATTGAAAAGAAAAATAACTAGTGATTTAACAAAAAAGAAGCTAATAAAGAATATATATATATTTACATATTTTGTAAGTTATGAAGAACGTCTTCGTTGTGTTTTCTTAAATTTCCACAACTATATTACTGTAGTGAACTAGACTTTATAATCAAATTAGTAGATCTGTTGTAACACGGTTACTTGCACGAATGCATGATTACCATACCTTTTCGTACTTAAATGTTACACATTTTTACGTTACACATCCTTAAATATGATATATTTTTGTTAATTCATTATTAATCTGTCAAAATCAAACTAGAAATAAATTTTCAAGGTGTAACGACATTTGCACTACATTTGAGAGACCTTAAGAAAATTCACTTACCTACTTAGATCTAAAGAAGGATATAAATTAGTGTGAGAAATAAAAACCGGGATTTAGAGTTAGAATCTAGGGTTTTAAACATGAATTCATATCAATTATAAGGCCGAAATGTTATTTAGCTATATGGATTAGTGAATCTAACGTCAAAATCTGAAACTAGCCACCATAAATATGATAGATTCACTCTTAAATTATGTTCTCGTCATTTACAAGTTTCACATTAGTAAGAGAGAAAAGAGAGCATAAAGTAGAAAAACACTGAAAATAATAAAAACCTTATAGCATATTGAGCAAGTAGGAATAAAGTAGAATTTTGATTAATCATATCGTGTTGCCGTATCTTAAAGCCAAATAATGGGTTTACAAACACCTTGACAAGACTTTATAGGCTTCAAACTGAAATAGTAAACCATATTTAGTTCATGACAAACTTACATAGTTTTCCAGCTGTATTTTTTCATTTTGACGCAAACGATTCAGTGTTGAATGATACAATCTACGCACAGCTACTTCGTCATTCAAACATTTTGTTGTTGAATATCCTAAACTTGACAATGGTCGCTGATTTCGATATTTTAAATAATCCTCATACATGTTATAAAATGCTATTGTTCGATCACTTGGAAGTGGTCTTGAATTAGGATTTTTCCATGGTGGACGAATATGTAAGCGATGGATTTTTTTGTCAAAACTTTTCAAAGCATCTGCAATTTGCGCAACATTAATACATTCATTGTTTACATTATAAATATCCAAACTTGAAGTACTATGAAATGAGGGTCTGGTTTGCTTTTTCTGGTTGTTATTTTTGTCCGGTGATTGTCGTATTGGAGAATTTCTAGATGTTACATGTTTACTTTTACTTCTACGAATATTAGAAATCTCGTCAGGAGATGAAATTGATTCTTCTTTGTCGTCATCATCACTCACTAAGTCACTGTCGATATCCTTCACTACAGCTTTATTCATATTTCTTCTATCAGAATTGTTAACTGATTTGTGAAATGTTGAACTTTTAACTGAATTGTTTTCATCTTCTTTCTCCTTCGTGTCCTCTTCTTCTTCAGTGCTGTGATATGTTTTATCACTTAAATCAAGATCTTCATTCCGTTTATACAGATCATCTTCCTGTTTTTGTTTTACTACAAACGTTTCATTGTTTGTTTTAACTAAATTCGAATTATTGTTTTCATAATTTATATTGCTATTCTTTTTCAATGATTCCGGTATAGACTCGCTTTTTTTCATACAAATGGAAATGACGAAACAGACGGTGGAATTAGTGTGAATTATTAACTGTCAAAATATTGATTAAACAAAAGAAGCTTTTGTGAAGTTCTCAGTGAAAACTTTCTATTTTAAAATGGATAACTCATTTACTAACTCTTAATGAATGCATTATTTTCAGATAATAACAATAATCATCATCAAGATGAAATAATAAAAAAGTTCAACAAAGCAGTCTCTTTCCGTTCAACTAGCCTTTTGTGTTTTCAGTCTCAATGGACATTTTTCGTTTCAACAAATCGATAACCACAAAATCCTATTTAAAAAAACTTCACATTTTTAAAGTAAAATCACTGAGTTGTCCAGGTATCTATAACATATTATAGAATTTCTTTTACTGAATTTCTTCATAACCCTCCAGAATATACATATATATAACATGATTTCTGAAGTACTTAGATTTGTAATTTAAATTAAAGTTATATACTAACATTGTTATTCCGGATATTACCTCAAATAACTATAACAGTGGTAGCACTTGAGCCTCTCAAGTATCTGTAGATTTGTCAGTCAATTTTCGTCTCCTTATACGCATTGAATGATGCACATGTCGTTTCTTAAACTTTAGATGGCTAAAAGACTGTCTATGAAATGATTAATAGAGTAAAATATCCTGACGCTTAGAATAAGATTATTTAAATATACAAAAAACTGGGTATGTTAGAAATCCCTCACAATAAAACATAATCAATCTCATCTCATAGAAAAATTAAAGAAAAGAGACCCTTATACATTTCAATAATATACTTCAACATCCATATTAAACATAAGTACTTCATTTTGATTATTTGTTAAAATCTTATCAGAGTTTATATATATATACCAATTTTTAATACGTTGGAAGTTGGCACTTTAAAGTTTTTATTACCTGATTTCTATTCATTATTGAAATTATCCTTTAATACTTATATACAGCAGAGAATTAGTCCATCTGATGCTACTCTTCAAAAGAAGAAACCTTAAAGCCCAAAGAGAAGTGAGATTTAATTTCTCATCATTTTAGATACTCTCAACAGTTTCCGCCTACGATCCTAACATAGAGTCAATAACAGAATTTCTAAACCTCTTAAAGAAAACAGTATCATCTAGATAATTAGTCGACATTTAATGACCCAATACCTGTATTGGTGTTTCACTTCCCACTTCAGTACCTGGATATCCAACCTAGAATTAGAAATAAATGGTGGGATATTACTTATTAAATTATATAACTTTACAGCACGCAAGTGCGACTGATCTTTCTTCGTAGAAATAATATAATAAATACTCCGACCTATTCCCATATTTTTAATCTCCATAACAAGCCAGGTAGTTAATCTGTTAAGTAGTGGAATTTTGTGATCAATAATAGAGGATTCAAAAATAATATTAAACAAACTAATAGAATTGAAATTGCTGTGGCCTAGTGACAACTGCTCATGAGACTGAATTATCGACGCAAGTCACTGAAGTTGCAAATATTGAAAAACAAGACAACTGTTGAGCAAAACACGTTATTTTGTTGGTGAATTTGTATGCTATTATACAGAATATCACACACAAAACCAAACACGATTAAAAGTCAGCTTAAAAGTAGGTGGTTTAAAAGTATTTCTCAGATCCACTAAGTCTGAAAAACACTAAGATCTACCCATCAGTCTTATTTCTTGGTCAACTGTGGTATTTGTACGAATTGATGACTCATTTGTACTTGATTTCCGCTTATTACGAATTCCAAACACAATACTTTCATTTGTGCTCATTTAGTTCTACTTACATCAAATTGTACTATTGAGGGAATTCTTAGTCAGTACAACAGTTCGAATATTTCTAATCACCATTTCAACACTCCAAGCAAAACGATATGGGATCTGTCTATTGCAAATTTGATTACGAGGTGATAATTTCGATTGATTTCACATTCGCCTCAGTTTTCATGTGTTTTTTTCTCATTTATGGATTACAACCTCATCAATGACTCAAAATTTAAGACAATTCTGTGTCAGTGCGTAATTACCGAGAGTGAATAAATAATAGTTTTTATTTGCTGCCTCATTGTATTAATGAAATTTTACTACATAACTTGGTCTAGAACCACGCGAACATCCTAGTAGTTTTAGTTTTATCTCTGAGAAAATCAGTGGTTTTCATGAGATTGTTTGGGGAGCGGATCATTTTTTATACGAGGAATACGTTGTTGAATATGTTGAGACAACACTAACAATTCTATAATAGAAGTTACATTTTTGGGAAATTCTAAGTGCAATGATTTGACTGATTTTGAACTAGTAAAATCAAGACTCTCCATCAACTTTGTTTTGACAATGTTTGCAATCACTCTATTATTGCACTAACTGAGTTTTTCAAGTATGATGCATTCTTTTTTGACTGCATTTGATACTAAGTTGACAGCTTGTAACTGATATTCAGATATTTATTCGTTTGCAAGTATATCTGGGTTTCCCATTTATGGTTCGTTCAGCTGTGAATATAAGGATTTCAACCAACTGAATTAAAATAGCATTTTGCCAATCGATTCTTATCCCGGACATATGTGCTATAAATCATGATTTGTGACGAAGAACAGGTCCTATATTATTAAAATGAATGAACACAATCCTTGATATAACCATATTGGGGTGGTACATAGTGTGTAGATATGAGATAAAGTGAAGTTGTAATCTCATATAAAATTTGTTTATTCATTTGTTAATTTATGAAGTCACTGGATAACTTTTATGTCTTGCTCATGTATAAATAACTTTGATTTGTAAAGTTTGAAGCTATGAAGCTTGTAAAGTTCATAGTTTCAAATGAACATTTGAAACCAATGACAGGGGTTTGTTATCGAATAAATTGCTTAATCGAACAATCTGTATACTTATCGAAATAGTTAGACAAATTCTTACAACCATAATACAATAGTTGACACTTCCATTCCACTAAAATCTAAAGGAAGTCAGAACTTGTATCTTTACAAAAAGAATTTGTAACACAAAGTTTATTTCCCTTATTTTAGTTTAAAACTGTTCTGACCAGACATTTTTGAGAATGAGCATATCGAATAATCTTTAACTAATCGGTCAGTTAGATATTTGAATAAAGCACTTGGAAATATTGTTACACTGAAATTCAACATGACGGTTTATTCGGGTCACTATTTCGCCACCAGAAATTCAATGCTGTTACCCAAACCATGTAAATAATTCCAAATGCCTCTATTCTTGACATATGTCAAAATAGGTTTGATGGATTTCTTATAACTTACTGGAGATTATTGAGACAACGAATAATAGGAAGTAAAGACAATGTTTTATGTCTCATAATACATTATTGTATCAGTTTTATAAATATTTCGTGTACTAATATTTAGTGTCGATTAAAACTATTTTTCTTATGCGTATCGTATTATACTAAAATAAGCGAATTAATTTTTTCGAATTATATATTGCTAAGGTTGTGATATTTAATACTATAATTCTTAGTAGTCAATAATCAACTGACTACTATAGGTTTAGTAGTTCTTAAACGTTAATTTGTGGATAAATCCTAAAAAATCGATAACAGAAACACCTGAAATGTATACACGTCCTTCTGGACTTCATAAACTTAGTTATTAAGATAATGTTATATTGTATCCATAACATGTTCATCGCATTATTTATATGATTCTACAGAGACAGCTGTATGTACTTAGGTTTTCAATAATGTTAATTAGACATACATTCACTGATAGGCACGTAAAAATTAACTAACAGCTAGTTGAATCTGTAAAATTCACAGTATCAATAGATTAACAGCGCTAACTAAAATATGTATCAGGATTATGTGTTTGTTCCTTCCTAACATCATGCATCTCAATTCAACCAAAGTCTTTGATAAATTTAAGCAAAGCACAAACAACATGACATACAGAATAAAATGAATTCATTCTATTTCATGGCTTGTCATCAGCTGCATACAACTCAAAAAACAAGTACAAGGAAAGAACAGACAGTAAGACCTTTACAAGGTTTTCTGAACACATTTCTAGGAATGTACGACTAAAAGAAAATAAAGCCTTTACAACTGTAGTTGCAAGACATCATTTGGGTAGTGTACACGAAGTAGATGTGAGCAATGTATTCAAAATAGTTAATGGACAAAAGGCACTGATCTTACTCCGTTTGGCGTAGGCATTCGCTATCAAATGTTCCCTACCTGACCTATGTACACGGAAGGACAGTGTGATTAGTCTTTCCTTCCCATGGTAACCCAGGGTCCACCTAACAACCCTTGTTAATTTTAACTTTTAACCTTTTTTCTACCCTATTTCCGACCTTTTGTCTTTGCTTCTATTTCGTCGTCTGATATTCACTTCTTACATATTCTAATTGTTTGTAGATTTCTTTATTTCATCATGGAATTACTCAATCTTTTATTAATTTTCTTACCTTTAGGTAATCTCTAAATTATTACTTCCCAACTTATAAATACACATCGATCTTAAAAATGTCTATTCATATACTTTGTATCCCTAGTCTTATTATTATGATGATTTTTGTTCACGTTTCGCACATTTATCTAAACTACACAAGCTAAATTATGCTAAACATTTGTTAATAACCATATTTATATTGACAATTGTAGTTTTAGGTTGTATGTAGCCGGTAAGAAACTATGAAATATGATGAATTCATTTTATTTTGCAAACCGTGCTATCCTTGCGCTGTTTAAGTATTTATTTTGTTGCACAGCATAATGTTTATTCGAAAATGCAATGCACATAATGACAGAAAAATATTATAACATTTATAGTCTCTGAAAAATACCTTATTTTCTCTTATCTTTGTGACATTTCATGTTTAGTTATGCAGATTTTCAGTATAGTTCATTTGTACATTACAACCCTACTATACATATCAAGGTTGTCACCGCTTCAAGTGTCATGTTCCCATTAAAATGAAAATCCAGGGCAAACAAAAAGGAGTAAATGGAAACGAACCCAAAACAAGCAAAAGAGACCAAATGGTAATAGTATTCCATTATTGTAAAAATGTTTTGGAAAACAATTAGAATTTCAGGTATATGACGAAGGAACTCAATGACGATGAACAAGATTCTATATAAAATTGGAATAATTTCGGTCACCATGTTGAATGATATATATATGTATAAATATATGTCACATGGTGATAATTAAATTATTTTGCCACAATTACTTTTAGTTCCAAGAGTTGGGATATTTATCATTCCGATCACTTACCGATGTTCTTCGAAAAACTCAAAATCCACAGAATCTTCTTGATCAGCTGGATTGTCACCAAAGTGATCAAAAAGTCTTCCAGTTGACATGATGCTTGGATGAGGCGGGAGACTATAAACACTGTGTGTATCGATGATTTAGAAAAGTAAAACAATAAAAATATTTTTGAATTCAAAATAAAGGCATAAAAGACCATGTTATTCGTTCAGAATTTTTCTGATGGACATTCGGAGCGAACATACACCACGTCTTTCATCAATAAACTTTCGCGTGGAATCAATTTTATTAAACATATGGTCATTTTCCTGTTCAGCTAATATGAAAGCTAGACCAGCAACTCAGTATTGTAGCCTTATACTTTTGCTTACTCACATAAGCAAATGTACTTAGGCCTGTAAAAGCGATATAATCAGATCCACCAAACGAAATATGGGACCGATCGCAGATAAATCAACTAACGACATTTCAACTCATCTGCTTGTGGCCAGGAACGCATATAAGACCACAGAATGAATATACTGAAATGCCTGTCTCCCTATTAGTAGTAAGTCCCGACTTTTCTGGATTGTGACAACATTCTTATTTAGTGTAAGTAGATTTCTCCCCTAACTGAAATCTGTAGAAACAATTGCTATTCTAATTCTTGGTTTTATAAATAGAGTTTTGAGATTCATTAAGCCTGGAATCCAAAATCCTCCGAATTCTAAGACTTGTCGTCGTCTTGGATATGATGAATAGTCAAACAAGTTTAAAAACGCAAGCATGCAAACATTCAAAATCAAGCAGAATGCCCTATATAACTCGAAAACGATAACCTCTCGAAACATTACCAATAATTTACATGACACAAGTTATCAAAGTCGCCGTCATAATCGCATGCCAGCTTAAATTTTACAACTTCCATCTCTTGCTACAGCGTATTGACGGCACTTTTACTTACCAAATCCCTGTATATTTTGCTATTCAGGTCATTTTTTGGGTATGTTACCCCAAAATTTTAATATCTGTAGATTATCCGACCAATATGGTACTTCAAGCTTAGGATTTTCAGGCTCTGTGTTTCTACGCATTCAGACAGAGACATCTGACCAGTAACGCTTCATTCGAGTACCACTTATAAAACTTAAGGTCATGAACACTGTCAATGAGGTGGTAGTATGAAATGTTCACAGAATCTTTGCATAGTGGTTACTGGAGTGCAGTCGTATAATGTTTCACATGGGCAGAAAGTCACAGCCTAATATTTCCTGAAAACAAATACAAAATAAATAGTTTATGCAAATAATCAATCTGGTTCTAAATGATAGATAACAGTTGTCCATAAAGTTGACATACTGGTATTTTGTCACAAAATCACAACATATGCAATTATTCAAAGTACTTGGGATTGAACTCGTTTATAATGCTCTGAAAAACCAAACTACTAAACTTAACAGTCCTCGCAAGCTAAAATGTCATTTATCTGTACGGATATATTTCTGCTTTGATGCTATCAAGGTGCAAGTGTCCTTCTGTGATTTCTTCCCAATAACAAAACGTGGTGCATTGGAATTTCTACCTCCAGCCTACATCACTCCAGTAGGCTGAACGTATTTGGATTTTACCTTATAGTGCCAGCCTGAAACTCGTAGAAAAAACTACTTCCTTTTGTGATAGGGGTCGCTGTATTCACTGTATTGACTGCATTCTATTAATTTACTTGAATCCGACCAACTAATAACTTTTCGCAACATCATGCCAGTAACTAAGTTCGAAATGATGCATACCACCAATATAAGGGAGAGGGTCGCCTCACACATCAAAAACTGTTCAGTGTGTGTATTGTAAAGGACATTTGGGACGAAATTATGTACTAACATGTATGTTCTTATAGTCATATCTCACAAAATGTACACCAAAGGTAGTATTTTATTCAGTTGCACAAAGGCTTCGTGACTCATTGAGACAAGATACTACTAGCTCCGAACAACAATTCTGTGATCACATTAATTTCTCTGGAACTCATATAAACAAACTGTTGTATACATGTTTAAGTTGTTGACAACTTAAAGCAATTTTCGATCAATTTATGTTCACTCTGTACACAAAATTCTGAACCACTGTTCTGGAATAAAAGTATAAAAGTAACACAAGTCAGAACCCATCAAGTCACGTGGAAAATATAGCTACCTTTTTCTTTGAGGCAATATCTGAAAGATCAGCTTCCACATAATTGCTCTCTCATAATTTGAGAATTCAGAAACTTGCGAGATGCCCTTGGGTTGCGATTAATTACGGTTTTATCCTAACCTTCAGACCTAACTATTGTTATCTTAAAATAAATCTAACTAACAATGAGGGCAGTTAAATAAATAAACCCAGAAAAATGCTACCAAGTACATTAAACACGAAAGTCTAGCAACGATATAGATTTATGGCAGTGACAGAAAGTTTCCAAATTTTAGAATACATAGCAGCTTGACTTACAATGGACGCTAATATTTCACCAAAGACTGCTGTTGTACAGTCTCTGATCATTTGGAAAACACTAAATCTCACCTTCAAACAACGCATTAACATGCGTACACCATTTCATAACACCATACTGATTTTTCAAACTACTAAAGTTCTGTCGGCAACACCAGGGTCTATAGGTCAACGCAGTTTACAATATATTGATGAGTTTTCCCGTTTCGCCGATTCAGCCATAAATCGAGGTACGGGAACTGAGAAAATCGCAGTCTAATCATCAGTGAACAACATAAACTGTGTAAGTTTAGTTTAAATAAAAATATCTGTTCAACAGATACACACAAAAGCTGCATTTTAGTGATAGATCAAACGAAACAGAACGCTGAACGAAAAAACACACATCATAAGTTACAAATACGACGGCATTGGGCTACACATCGCCATCATCTGGCGACCTTGACTGGGACGTCTAATGACCTCGACCCACCCAGAAAATCTCACCACATTCATGATTACTAGAAGATTCTCTACAGGGCATAATGTTCGAATCTGACAGTCTTTTTTATGAACTCCCCAAATTTCCCTTCATCACCGAATCACATACAGCGGTCCTGGAATTATACTTATTATTGCAGATAAGACACCCGTGGGGAAGAATCCTGTGTCACTATAAAAACTCTGTCGCTAGTAACCAACAGACTGTTACGGAATCAAAACTTGACGTTTATACTCAATGAAGCTCTTCTGTAGAAATTCTCATACTAGGCCCTTTAAAAAGCAATATCTTTGTACTTTAGCAACTGCATGGAATATTAGGCAAGTTTATGAGAAATCGCTTTAAGTAGACGAAAAACCAGGGTTAGGTCACGGAATTTGATGGCTATAACTTTTCACGTGCTTTTTGTTGTGTTTGTATAAACTAATGATTCCTTGGTGCTTGATGGATGCTTGAGTCAGAACGTCAAATATAATACTTTCGTGCATACTCACCTAGTTCTGTCTACTTAGAATGTTCTATTTCAGGTATTCCTAGTTTAAATAAAGACAGAATAAATATTGATGCAGAATTGTATGAAATCATTATATTTCGTGGTCTCTCATCAGCTGCTTACAACCAAACATGTATTAGAATTTTAGCACTGGAGTAATAAATAGTATGGAACAATTGACATAATTGAATGTAAAGGATCGGAATGAAAAAAGGTCATCAATGATAGCTATATATATATATATATATATATATATATATATATATATATATATATATATATACAAGGAAAGGTCATAGGTTATTAGGTATTAAAATGAAGGTAACATAAAGGTAACATAAATATATTCTCACACATCCTTTATCAAACTGATAAGCAGAGATGGATAGTGGCTAGCAGTGGAATCCACGACGCGCGTTTCGTCCTATTTGGGACTCGTCAGCTGGATGTCCCTGCATATCAGAGTTGATGTTCACTCTGGGACTCGAACTCAGTACCCTCACTTCAAACGCCATCGCTTTATCCACTCGGCCACTGAGTCTTGATAGCCATTTGCTTGATGTTATTTAGATTTGACCACTGATTGGGAAATTATTGTTTAAGTGAATGTGTGACAGTACTAATTTCGGTAATATTGTACATTTAAATTTATGTGAAATTTACAACCGCCGTCAACTAAAATACCTTGTTTCAGTTTCAACTAGGTGATAGAGCGTATGTAAACTAACCTAGACAGTTATTCATTATTCTAAACTTATTTATTTTGTAACGAACAGCCGTGTTGTATGCTATCGATTATATTTGTAAAAATGACATGGAACTAGTTTGCCGAAAAAACATTTCGTTCCTGTTGTGAATTGTTGTTGACATATAAAATTTAGGCATCGTGGATTTCTGCTAAAGCTCATACACCAATTGACCCTATAGTTATGTATGGGAAAAGTAAGCATGATAAAAAACTTTTCATAGAAATTTACAGGGCCCACCAGCTCATCTCAATTCCAAAGCCTCTGTCATCTGTTGAAAAGCTGAACGGAAGAAGTGAAGTTTTCAACGTTCATTGAACAGTTTATGACGCAGTGGCCCATAATAAGCAACATGTGATCTATGGAATACCGAGTGAATGGTTGCATAAAAGGTTTAATATAATGCATGCTTCGGATATCAAAATTAAGTACATTAGCGAGAATAATCTGAATAGCTTTAACTATCACCTCAGTAACAATCACTAATAAGACCGACGAAAAGTCAAGTGCTGATGACATCGCAACAAGTCTCCATAAATTGACTGAGCATGATATACCAATTTTACTGCTCTAAGTATTCCACTCATCTTGAAAAGCCGAAACATACCTAGAAACCTGGATGGTAACTTACTTAGTCATTAAACACAAATCAAGACTAAAAAAAGCTATCCAGAACCATTGATCAACAAATAATGCTCATGCTACTTCACGAATTTTAGGCAAATAATAGGAGCTGAAATATCTGACCATCTGCTATCTTAAGGATACATAGGTGCCTGAATTCACTGCTTCCTTGACATTTAGTTATGCATTTTACGTCTGATAGACTTATTTAATGAAATTACTTGTGATTTGATTGACATGGTAATCTAGCTACACTTGAACAGAAAGAGAGTATTTGAT